TCACAGTGAAAGAGGCCCCAGCCCAGCTTCACCTCACCATAGACTCCTTGATTAGTCTCTTTTGCAAAGGTTTTTCTTAAATACTTGGAGACTCTTTGATGTGCCACCTTCTGTGCAGACCAAACAGAACACATCTATGGCCTGAGATGGCCATCTGGGGACTCCTGACCTCAGGTCAGGATGGGAGAGCCTGGCAGAAGAGAGGTCATGGAGAGTATCTGGAAATATGTGGAAGAAAAGGCCAGGTTTTTGTTTTGTTTTGTTTTAGTTTTTGCTATGAGGCACGTGTGCTTGACGGAGGCAGATGGGCATGAGTGGAGTGAGACGTACCCCATGGGAAAATGGCCATGCCACAGTCTCTTCTCCTCCAGTCTCCTGTCAGGATTTTGGGCACACACACACACACACACACACACACACATGTGCCCAGCATGGTTTTTTAGCCACTGCGTCTGACACTCGAGCTGTGGAGTCAGCCATGTGAGATCCAGTGCCTTAACCACTGCACTGCCTGGCTAACCCGAAAAGGCCAGGTTACCAAAGACCATTGGGAGCCACTGTTGGGTGTATGAGCCCCTGGTTTTAAGGGAACTTGGGGGCCTCAGTCGGCAAATCGGGACTTGTAAATTTCACCTTCATTTCCTCCAATTCTCCTCTCCAGGATGCCGGTGGCTCCGAGGAGAAGCGGAAAAGCGTACTGGCTTCAACTACCAAGTGTGGGGTGGAGTTCTCTGAGCCTGCCTTAGCCGCCAAGCGAACACGAGAAGACAGTGGGATGGTTCCCCTCATCATCCCAGTGTCTGTGCCCGTACGGACTGTGGACCCAATGGAGGCAGCCCAAGCTGGAGGTGTTGACGAGGATGGGAAGTGTCCTGAACAGAACCCGACTGAGCACAAGCCATCAGTCATCGTTACACGCAGGCGTTCTACCCGGATCCCTGTGACAGATGCTCCAGCTCAGGTATGAGGGCCTCCCCGTCCAAACCCTCCAGTACCGCCGTGTTCCTGGGTCTAGGACCCTGTGGGGATGAGGAGAACATGGCAATAGAGGAGGGACTTGAGGAACCTGTGTAAATACCATGAGGGGACTTCAGAAAGTTTGTGGAAAATGGAATTAAAGTATGAGTTCATTTGGTGTGATGAGTTTTTTAAATTCATGCATAGATTTTTCAAAATACACATTTTTCATGAACACCTCCCCCTGCCCCCCGCCCCTGTTTTTTTGCTGTAAGGTCCGTGCACATGCCAGAGAAAAAGAGACAGAGAGGGAAAGTGAGAAACAACCTCCCTGGGTAATGGCCATGCCACAATCCTTTCTCCTTCATTCTCCTCTCAGGATTTTTGGGCATGCACACACATGTGCCCAGTGTGTTTTCCAAGTCACCAGGTCCAACTTGAACTGCCCAGTCAGCTATATGGGATCTGGCTACCTCAACCACCAAACCACCTGGCTGGCTCTAAATAAATAAGCTGTGAAAAAAAAAAGGGGGGGGAGGGAGTAGATGGGGCTGGGGCTGTGGCCTGGTGGTTTAAAAAGCCAGATCCTACATGATCAATCACAGTTCAAATCCCAGTCCTGTGGCTTGAAAAACACATTGGGCATGTGCATATACATGCCCAGAATCCCTGCAGGATGGAGAATTATGGTGTGATCATTCCCCATGGGGAAGTGCTTTCTCTGTCTTTCTGTTTCTAGCAATTAAAAAAAAAAAAAAAGATTGACGGAGCCAGCTTGTGGCGTGGTGGTTAAGGCACTGCATAGTCATGGTCAACTCCGTCGTTCAAGTTTTAGACCCGGTGGCTTGAAAATCATGCCAAGTGCAAGTGCATGTGTGCCCAGAATCCTGAGAGAAGACTGGAGGACGTGAGGAGAAAGGACTACTGCATGGCTATTCCCTCTAGCAGGGAAGTGATTCCTCACTTTCCCTCTCTCTGTTCTTTCTCTGCTCTCTGGGGAGTGCACCTTAAAAAAAAATAAAAAATAAAAAAAGCTTTAAAAAACTTAGAAGAGAATGTCAGCTGGTGACATGGTGGTTAAAGGTGGCTGGATCCCACATGACTGGCTGCACAGTTCAAGTCCCAGACCTGGCAGCTTGAAAAACACACCGGGCGTGTGGCGCTTGCAAACCTGGTGCCCTCCCATGTGGTGTCCAGCATTGCACTGCAGCACCCCCACTGCCGTGCCCTTGTTTGGGCCCTAGTCTTATTTTCGATCCACTTTTATTCTGAAATACGGCTTTTTGGCATCTCAGCCCAAACCAGGGCTTTACCAGGCTCTCCTTTCTTGGCAAGCCCTGCGTTCCAATTTCTACTGTGTTAGCTCCTTGAGTGTTAAAAGCTCTGCTCAGTTTCTCAGCCTCTCAGTTGCCTCTTCCAGTAACAGCTCATCCCTCTGGGGAAGACGCAGATCCAGACACTGGGCTCACCTGTGTGACTGACTGACTTTCTTTCTTTCTTTCTTTTCCCTAAATCTTTGCTTTTTAATTCTTTGCCAATCTGTTTGCTCTCTGATATCTTCAGAAATGTGCTTTTTACATTGAGTTCAAATTTTCTACTTATTCTCAGCTAGAGAGTTGGCCTGCATACCTGCCCTGTGTCACAGGAAGGGGAGCTCCAGGATTATCATAAGCACCATGATCTCTATCCTCTGGGGTCCTGTTTTCAGGTTGAGGGAGAGATTGCATTAGAGGCTGGAGGCTGGAGGCCCGGGCAACTTGCCCTGAGAGTGAATAGGAAGGAACCTAAGCAGTTACACAGCTCAGCACCCCCATGTCACAGACGAGGAAATAGGTCCAGAAGAGGCAACAAGAGACAGACCTGAGTTCACTCAGCCAACTAATGGCAGAGTGAGCTCTGGAATTTGGCTCTCTTGTATCCTCACTCATCAGTGCTTTCATTGGGGCTCTGGATGGAGGTTTCCTTTTGTTATTTGTTTATTTAGTTTTTCTTTTTGTTTGTGCTATAGATGTTTTCAATCATACGTAAGAGTAGAGAGAATGGTGGTGTGAATGTCAAGGCCGAGGCGTCATCCAGCTTTCATGGCTGTCGAAGCACAGTCCACCTGTGTCATTGTACCTCCACTTCTCCCTGCGCTGAACTCTCTCGAAGCACATCCCAAACACTGTATAATTTGTTTTTATCTGAAATACAAATGTAAGAACTCTTTTCCTCTCCTTCCTTCTTTCTTTCTTCCAAGTTTATATATTTACTTCTTCCAAGGTGAAGAAAGACACACACAGAGACCAGCACTCCCAGTGAGTCCCAGTCCGACAGTCCACCCTTAGCTTTAGCCAGCCCCACATGATGAGTCTGTGTGTGCCTGATGTGTTCAGGAAGGTCTCTAGACACAAACCCAGAGCCTTCCCATGTGGGTCAGCCATGCAGAACATTGATTTTTACCACTGAGCCACCATTGGCTCCTTCTTTCTTTCTTCTTTTTTTTTTTTTTTATATAATCTCATAATCACACCTAAGAAATTAACATGAAAAATATTGTCAAATATTGGGAACCAGCAGTTAGCGTAATGGCTATGTCGCTGGACTCCCACGTAGTCTGACCGCGGTTCGCATCCTGGACCTGGTGGCTTAAAACTAACGCCAGGCGTGTGTGCGTGCGTGCCCAAGATCCCGAGAGAAGAATGGAGGAGAAGGGATTGCGGCGTGACCATTCCTCCTGGGGGGTGATTTCTCGCTTTCTGTCTCTATGTCTCTCTCTGTCTGTCTAGCAAGTGCACGTGCCCTATAGCAAAAATCTCTCCCAAAAAAAAAAAGTCAAATATTTAGAATAGTTTAAACGCTTATTATGAAATTACAGAAATGAAAATTATTAATTATTATTATTTATTATGAAATTTAAATTTTTAAAATTTTTTAGAACTACTTATTTAATTTTATTTATTTATTATTCTTCAATTTAACCAGAGAAAGACAGAGAGGGAGAGTGAGAAAACAAGCCACCGGATGCGAGACTTGAACTCCGGTTGGCCATGTGGGAGTCCAACACCTTAGCCACCATGCCAGCTGCTGGCCCCATGAAATTATAGATTGTTGCAGGTAGCTAAGTTTATGTCGACTTTCTTGTCTAGAAAATATGGGAAGCCTTTGACTTTCTGCGTTTTTTTCCTTTGTGCAATCCTATGTGCAGGAAAATGAACAGCTTCATTTCATCCTAATCTGTAGAAGGGCAGAGAGGGAACACAGAGGCAAAGGACATGGCCAGGGCCTCTCAGGCAGTCAGAGCTCTCCCCTGGAATGGGTTTTGAAAGCTGGAGCCTTGGAGGGGGAGAGAACCTGTTGTTCCCAGCCCACTCAGCAGAGCCAGCCCTGACTGCTGTGCTGTGTACCCAGACACTTGGATGCTGGTCACCCCCATGAGGCTTCATGCTCTGCCCTCTGAAAGCACAGGGGTGGAACAAGGAAAGGCCCACAGCCCTGCTTTCTAATCCATAGGGAGGCCCCTGTGGCATACCAAGCAGGGAGAGCAGGGGGCCAGGAGGGCTAACCTTTGACAGCATGAGCAAGCTGGTGTCTGATACTGGGACAGTAACGTGAGAGTAGAAATTCTGCAGGGACAGGGACCGTGCTGTTCCGTGTTGTGCTCTCATGCTGAGCGTCAGGCTTGGCACACAGTGGTAGCTTCTGTCTCGGCAGAGGATGAGACCGTAAGTAGTGCTACTAGCCAGTACTGATTGAGTTACTGTGGCCTAGGGAGCCAAATCCAGAGCTAAGAATGGTTTTTACTTGTTTTTTTTCTAATTTGCTGTACAGCACATGTGCTCGCCAGACAGAGAAAGTGAGAAATCTCCCCCGGAGGGATGGCCACCCCACCATCTCTTCTCTCTGGAGATTTTAGGCATGCTTGTGTGATGTGCCCAAGGTGTTTTTTCAAGCTGCCAAGTCTGAGACTCAAACCACATAGTCAGCCATGTGGAATCCAGCTGCCTTAACCACCCAGTTTTTACTTTTCTACAAAATAATTTAGAAACATAGACAGGGGACTGGCCCATAGCATAGTTAAGCACTTGAGGAATCCCAACCCCAGTGGCAACACCTTGGGCACATACTCAAGCCCAGGATCCTGACCAGATAGAGAATTGGAGGGAAAAGGACTGTGACCAGGCCACACTGGGAGGTGCTTTCTCTCTGTTTCCCTCTTTCCCCCTCTTGTGCAGTGCACATGTACCTTCTGGCATAAGAAAAATGATTTTTAAGAAAAAGGGAAACAAGAAATATATATATGTACGTATATATATCAGAGACCACAGGTGGCCCCCAAGGCCTAAAATACTTACTCTGTGGTCCTTTACAGAGAAGGTGTGTGGCCTCTGCCCTAGAGGAGACAGTAGGAAGGCTTTGGGACCCGCCCCTTTTAAGGCTTGCCATGGTAGGTGTGGTGGGCACACCAGGTTCCAAAGGTGAAACCGACACGTCGTGGTCAAGACTTTGGTTTCCTAGAACAGAGGCAGCTGAGCCGTTTTTCTTCTTTTTCCTTGTCCAGGCTGAGGACATGAATGTCAAGATGGAGGGGGAGCCTTCCGTGCGGAAACCAAAGCAGCGGCCACGGCCCGAACCTCTGATCATCCCCACCAAGGCGGGCAGTTTCATCACCCCTCCCGTCTACTCCAACATCACCCCATACCAGAGCCACCTGCGCTCTCCCGTCCGCCTGGCTGACCACCCCGCTGAGAGGAGCTTTGAGCTGCCCCCCTACACGCCACCCCCCATCCTGAGCCCCGTGCGGGAGGGCTCCGGCCTCTACTTCAATGCCATCATATCAACCAGCAGCATCCCAGCCCCTCCACCCATCACGCCAAAGAGTGCCCATCGCACCCTGCTCCGCTCTAGTGAGTGACCTCCTTCGGTGGCTGTGGGGACCGGGCATGTGGCAGGGAGGGTGGAGGTAGGGTGCCTCTGCTCTGGGGCTCCTGGGGATTGGATGGGAATAATGTAGAAGGGGGTGGCTGGGGGTGGGGGTGGGTCTGTCATCCCAAGGGCTTGGATTCGATCCCAGTTCAACCATTAACTATTCTACTCCCCGGTGCCCTGGTCCTCAGTATCTTCAGTATTAAATGAACAATTAGTAATACTTGGCTGCTGATGAGATTGCAAAAATCAACTGGTTTTGGAAACACACGTAGCTGTTTCCTGTGGTTCAACCTGATAAGCTGCTTCCTAGGGTCGTGGTGAAGAGCAGACGCATTTGCACGTGGGATGTCCTGCCTGGTGTCTGTTCACCCTACCGTGTGTGTGGCAGATCTGCCCTCCTGGGTCTCTTGAATAGTCATTTTTGCTAAAAGCAGACATTCTGGAATATTTGGCTGGCCTGGTTGATGTGTTGCTGGAAAAAGTTGCCCACACCACAAAGGGATCCATTTCCTCTGAAAAAAATGGGGCAATCCTACCCCTTAGGATGGTGGAGAGGAATGAGTGGGAGTAGCACACAGGCGCCGTTTACCCAATTATCTCTGACCCTGACCTCACTCCTGGCGTGGCTCTCTGGTGCCCCCTTGTGTCTGTGGGTGAGAAATGGTTTGCCCTGGGCTGGCTGGCGGCTGGCCCCTGGCCCTGCCGCTTCCATGGAAGCTTCTCTCTCTGGCTGAGTTGTGCAGGAAGTCAGTGTAGAGTCCAGACTGGCAGCAAAGAAGAGGTCAGTCAGTGCATGCGTATTTCCTGAGTACTTGGGTGTAAATCTTTGAACTGGGTCCTGGTGGGATCAAGAAATGTGGTTGGTTCTAAAGAGAGCACGGGGTCACTGGGGAGTTGACGTGAAAGCCTGGGAGACAGAGAAGCAGAGGGTCCTGGACGTGTGGGACAGGAAGCCAGTGTGCAAAGTCGGCACTAAGCTCAGACGCCTGCACTGGCTGCAGCTGGTCTTGGGTGGAGAGGAAAGCAAGCATTTAAGAGGGGGTGGGGTTAGAGCTGAGCCTGAACTGTGGCGGGGGAGGGGAGGGGAGGGCACACCTGGGAGAGGAAATGATTGACGCAAAGGCCTTTAGGTGGGACTGTGCAGGGAGAGTGAGGGGCCCTGAGGTAAGTTTTCCCACTAGGATCGAGGGTCCAGGAAAGGGGTGATAGGAGGTATAGATAGAAGGGGGACCTGCCTCAGTTGCTGAGTGGAAGATTTTAGGTTTTATCCTGGGCTGTGGACTGGAGTCTGCAAAGTTGTTTTGTTTGTTGGAGCACAGGAGTCTTCGTCATTTGAAGACCTTAATAAAGATTAACTTGGGAGAAACCGAGGGGGAAAATTCAGGGAGGAAGTAAGAAGATAATTATAAGGACCAGGAGATGGTGCAGTGGTTTTGTCTCTGGACTCTGACATGGCAGGCTGCAGTTTGAGTTCTGGACCCGGTAGCTTTAAAATCACACTGGGTGCGTGTGCATGCATGCCCAAGATCCCAGCAGAATGGAGAAGGGATTGCAGCACGGTCATCTGTTTCTCCAGCAAATGCGCAAGCCCTAAGGCAAAAACTTTTTTTTGAGAGGTGTTTGCTATAGGGCGCATGCGCTCACCAAACAGCCAGAGAGACAGAAAGCGAGAAATCACCCCCCGGGGGGATGGCCACGCTGCAATCCCTTCTCCTCCCTTCTCCTCTCGGAGTCTTGGGCACGCACGCACATGCACCCAGTGTGAGTTTAAGCCACCGGGCCGAGACTCTAACCATGGTCAACCACATGGGAGTCCAGCGACATAGCCATTATGCCAACTGTTGGTCCCCCAGGCAAAAACGTTTTAAGAATCATTTATTTATTTAATTCCATGTGTTATTATTACTTTTTTAATTTGACCAGAGAGTGACAGAGAAAGGGAAAGGGAGAAAGCAAGCTGCCAGGTCCGGGACTTAAACCGTGGTCAGCCATGTGGGAATCCAGCACCTTTAACCACACCACCGCCTGCCAGCCCCAAGGCTGGCAAAAATTTCTTTAAAAAAAAAAAAATTATAAAACAACGATCCCCTTGGCGGGGACAGGAGACATGGTGGTTAAGGTGCTAGATTCCCACATGACTGACTACAGTTCGAGTCCTGGACCCAGTGCCTTGAAAATCACAACAATTAAATAGATAAATAAATTTTAAAAACTAAAACAGCAATCCCCTTCACCACCCCACTAATGTGCCCGAATTTTTAGCCTCATTGCTAGAAAACTTTAATATTTTTCTTTTTCTCTTCTTTCTTTCTTTGTTCTTTTTTAATGGGCATATGCACTTGCCAGAAAAAAAGAGGAAGCACCCATTGATGGGGTATGATCGTGCCACAATTGTTTTCCCCTCCAGCTCTCCTTCCCATCAGGATTTTGGGTACAGATACATAATACCTGGCATGTTTTTCATGTTGTCAGAGGTGGGATTCACGCCGCAGTCAGCAATGTGAGATCCAGCTCCAAGCACAGCACCTAACTAACCACTGCACTGCGAGGCCAGCCTTCCTTTTTGCCCTATTTTTCATTGCAATTTCTGACATATAGATATACCCATTTTCTGTCTTTGTGGGGGTATGGCATGGTTTCCAAAGCCTGCGTACGATGTATAATAAATCAAAGATATAGACAGGGTCACCATCTTCAGTAGTTAACGTTATATTATGTTGTGCATGTCTGAGATTTGTTCTATTAGTTTGGGTTGATTTTTGTTGTTATTTTTTCCCCCAGTGGATGTGTATGCTCTTCATAGAAAAAGCACTCCTCGGGACCAGCAGTTAGCATAATGGCTATGTCGCTGGACTCCCACGTAGTCGACCACGGTTCGAGTCCCGGACCTGGTGACTTAAACTCACTCCGGGTGCATGTGCGTGCGTTTCCAAGATCCCAAGAGGAGAATGGAGGAGAAGGGATTGTGGCGTGGCCAACCCCTCTGTGGGGTGATTTCTCACTTTCTATCTCTCTGTCTCTCTCTGTCTGTCTGGGGAGCACATGCACCCTATAGCAAAAACCTCTCCAAAAAAAAAAAAGAAAAAGAAAAAGAAAAAGCACTCCTTGGGGACCAGCAGGTGGCGTGGTGGTTAAGACGCTGGACACTCCCACATGGCCAACCAGGGTTCAAGTCCTGAATCTGGTGACTTGCTTTCTCACTTCTTCTCTCTCTCACTCTCACCCTCTGTCTCTCTCTGGTCAAACTAAAAAATAAAAAATGAATGAATAAATAAAAATAAAATAAATACTTATGAAAAAAAAAGAAAGAAAAAGCACTCCTCAGTGAGGATAGCCACACTGCCGTCCATCCTCCATTTCTCCATCTCATCAGGTTTGGGGGCACACTGCACACACACAGTGTGTTTCAAGCCTGGGGCTGGCATTCAAACCACGGTCAGCCATGTGGAGTCCTTCTTTCCTTCCTTCCTAAAATTTTTGCCAGAGAACATGTGTGCTCTTGACAGAGAAAGAGTGAGAGAGAAAGAGAAAGTGAGAAAGCACCCCTATGGGGGAATGGTCAGGCCACTGCCCTGTGTCCATTTTTCTCTCAGAATTTGGAGCACACAAGCACACATTTTTTTTTTAAAAGAGGCAGGTCCAGACACCTTTACCACCACGCCACCTGCAGACCCAGGATCTGGCTTTCTGTAAACAGAGTTTAACCCCTGCATTATAGGCTAGTTCTATTAAGTTTTTGTGGAAATATATATTGAATTGTAAAGGGTGTTTTTTAAAGTCTACTGCGGTGCGCTGTTCCATAACCTTTTCCACTTGTTTACATGTGCTCTTACGTCTGTTGGTCAATTTCTTCCAAACCTCCCCCCCTCCCGTGCAGCTTCTAATATCTGCCCTTCCTTTCACTACCTCTATGCTATCACGTCTTTTCGCTTCTGCCAATGAGAGAACACTGGGTATTTGTTCAGCGGGGACATTCAGCACTTGCCTTTCCTAGCCTGGCCCAAACCTTCATTTTAAGCTGGAGTTAATTCTGCAGTGTGGGAGCTCCTGGAGTGGGGACATGACTTTACCGGGAGTGCTATGCTAGCGGTAATAGGGAGAGCTCGCCGTTACTGAGTGCCGGGCTCTGTGTGCTATTTCCACCCACTGGAGAGCCTGGGAGATAGTAGTAACTGCCCTTTTTGCAGGTGTGAAACTGAGGCACCCAAATATTTGGAGAGGGCTGTGTCGTCATAGCAGGCTGCAGAGCCAGGCTCAGGGTGCCCAAGTTCCAAGTGTGAGTTCTGTGAGTCACTGCTGTGACTCTCAGGCTTGTCAGGCAGCCACCTGGGGTTGGGAGTGCTTTGAAGGGAGCAGGGTGCCGCTTACCAACTTGCTCTTTGTCTCACAGACAGTGCTGAAGTCACCCCACCGGTCCTCTCTGTGATGGGGGAGGCCACCCCAGTGAGCATCGAGCCGTAAGTGCAGCAGCCCTGCCTCGGGCCCACGGTGTGGGGATGGCCAAGTGGGTCTCTTATGTGTGGATAGCTCTGGTGGCAAGAGGAGGGCTCTGTGGGGCCTGCAAGGGGCTGAGCAGACCTCTCCAAGCCTCTGATCAGCTTGGGGTTCTGTGGGGCCTACTGAGCTGCTGTGTGGGAGTGCAGGAGAAGGACAGGCCAGATCTACTTGACTTTATGCCTGAGGAGACTTGAAAGAGGGCACCAAGAGTCCTTAAACCTGGAGTGCTTCTCCCCTTTCCAACCGCAGGGCCTTGCCTTTCCAGGGGCTCAGTCCCTAGAAAGCAGGTTCCTCGCCATGCTCGGCCTCCACCCGCTAACCTTCACCTTTCTACCGTGGACTGGGGAAAAGTCAGGCACCCTGTCCCCACTAGGTAAGGCCTCACTCCTTGCCCTTCGTCCCCTGCAGACGGATCAACGTGGGTTCCCGCTTCCAAGCAGAAATCCCCTCGATTCGGGACCGCACCCTGGCGGCTGCAGACCCCCACAAGGCCGACCTGGTGTGGCAGCCCTGGCAGGACCTAGAGAGCAGCCGGGAGAAGCAGAGGCAAGGTGAGGAGGGCTCCAGGGTGAGCAGGCAAAGGCAGGCTGGAGGGCAGGTGGGGGCCAGGCGTGGTCTGGCCCAGGCCTGAGACTGATCTCTTCTCCCTCCCCATGCTGGCGGGAATCCAGTGGAAGACCTGCTGACGGCTGCCTGCTCCAGCATTTTCCCTGGAGCCGGCACCAATCAGGAGCTGGCCCTGCACTGTCTGCATGAGTCCAGGGGAGATATCCTGGTGAGAAGGCGCCCCTGCCAGAGGGAGGGTCCCTTGGAGAGGCTGGCATGGATCCATGTCTGTTGCCTAGGAGCTGGGCCTGCTGGCATGCTTATTTGAAGCGAGTAGGAGGATAGAGCCGAGGAAGAAAGCAGGGGCTCGGCACAGGGAGCCCGCGTTGCAAACTCCAGATTCTGCTGTGTCGGGTCGTCCCACCCAGCCCAGTCCCCGATTCTGGATCACCCCTACCCCCAGGCAGACCACGACTGAGGGCCTTCTCCATCCCTGCAGCCTGCTTCCTGAGCAGTCCAATGACCACTCTGTCCTACCAGGCGCCTCGTTCTTCAGCAATTGAGGGGGAGCAGTACATGCCCAGCCTACGTAGAGGCCTAAGGAAGGCCCACTGAATTTTTCCCAGGCCACCACTGAGGCCCCCTGCCAGGGCTCTGACCTTCTCCTCCTTCCTCCTCCAGGAAACACTGAATAAACTGCTACTGAAGAAGCCTCTGCGGCCCCACAGCCACCCACTGGCAACTTATCACTACACAGGTGGGCCTGGTGGCAGCGGGCCTGGGGCCTGGAGTCTCATAGGGACCCCAGCATCAATGGTGCCCTATTGGGTGCCAAGTGTCAACCTGGGTGGGGGCAGGCATGTCGTGGGTGAATAAGCAAGAGCCGGAGAGAGGGAACTGACACCAGCACTGGGGTAGCCCTGGGGTGGGGTGGGCTTCATGGGCCCTGGAGCACAAGAGAGGGGTGCAGGTGGGGGCCCATCCAGACAAAGAAGCCCATGCATAGTTCTAGCAGCCCCTGTCAGCCACCCTGGCTAGTGCTGCATTTGTCTGCATCACGCAGAGCACCAAGGGTCATGCGCATTAGCCCATTTAGTCCTCACCACAGCTGGTGAGGCAGGTTCGGTTATTAATTCCAGTTTCACACGCAGTGGGAGGGAGGCTCCTGGCTACATGGCTACTGAGTGGCAGAAGCGGGCTGTGGAGCCAGCCTGGTGCCTGCAGAGACTGTGATGGATAGGTGGGTGGCTCGCCCCCACAGCACTCACCGTCCTGCTCACCTCATACCCTTGCCCCCGTCTGCGCTGCAGGCTCTGATCAGTGGAAGATGACTGAGAGGAAGCTGTTCAACAAGGGCATTGCCATCTACAAGAAGGACTTCTTCCTGGTGCAGAAGTTGGTGAGCTGAGCTTGCCTGCATGACTCGGGGGCTCCTGCCAGGGAGCCTGCAGTTGGACCAAGCCCTTTTAAAATGCAGTCAGGTGTGGGCCAGCCAGAGGTGGTTAGGTGCTATATCCCACATGGCCAACTGCATGGTTTGAGTCCCAGACCTGGTAGACTGAAAAACACACTGAATGCATGTGTGTGTGAGTGTTCAAACTCCCAAGAGGAGAATGAAGGAGAAGGGATTTCAGTGTGGCCACCCCCACCTCTCCCACCCACCCCCAGCCCCCAAGCACATAGACCCTCTGGCAAATTAAACCAACAAAAAAGGCAGTCTGGTCAGTGCCACTAAGCAGCCTCTGTAGTCAACACAAAGAGGGAAAAGATCAAGCTGGGGGGTGATGGTCACGCCGCAATCCCTTCTCCTCCATTCTCCTCTTGAGATCTTGGGCAGGCTTACCACTGTTGGTTCTAAGTACTTTTCCCCCAGTTGAGGGCGGGGATCTGGCCATGCCCTGGGGTCTTAATCCAGAGGGAAGCCTATCAGATCGAGTGACATCAACTTTAAAATAGGCAGGAAGGGCCCAGCCACCATGGCCCAAGCTGCTAAAATGCTGTGCTCCACAGCCTGGGGCCACATGGGAGGCCAGGGTTTGTTTTCTGGTCCAACCTAATGGCCAGGTACACACCTATAATCCCAGGGATTTAGGAAGCTGAGGCTGGGGGGGTTGCATTCTCCAGTCTGGCTTGGGCAACATAGTGAGACTCTGTGAAAGAGAGCTGGATGCTGGCTTGCAGTCCTGCCTGGGGGGGGTGGGGGCTGAGGCAGTAGGACTGATAGTGGGACCCTGTTTTTGTTTTATTTTGTTTTGTTTTTAAAAAGAAAAAAAAAGGCAGGAGGACCAGATAGGAAGGAGGGCAATAAGCAGAAATGAGCCATCCTCCAAGGAAGGACGGGAGAGGAGGTCACTGTGGGGTGAAGGGGATGGAGAGCCGGCAAGTGCCCCTCTCTTCCTCACTGAGAAAGGGCTTCCTTCCGGTAACTCAGCTGACAAAGCCTAGGTTCCCTAAGATTTGTCTTGTCTTCTCCCATAGTCCTCTGGGAGAGTAGTCTTTGCTAATACAAGGAATTCCTTCTTTCCAAATCTGTCTCAAAATCTGGGTTGTGAGAGAGTGAGTTATGTGGACCACTGAGGTCAAAGTGCTTCCAAGAATATTCTCTTTCCTTCTGGGGTTGTAGATGGTGTCAGGAATGGCCCTGGTGAAAGGACAGGCATTTACTGTATTTTCGTAACACTCTGTTCCCTGATTGAGCAATACTGCCAGAAAATACATGCCTGTGAAATTCCCTAAGGTGCCTCTGATGCTTAATCAAAAGAGCAGACCATTAGTCAGATGATGGGAGAGAATCGATAGCACACGCTAATTAACGAATGCATGACTCGTCCATTCCTGAGATGAAACATCTGTCTCCCCTGCAGGCACAGAGGACCCTCACTCACCTGGGCCCTCTAGACAGAAGTCCCCAGCCTAGCAGTGGCTGAGCGTCTGAGAGCCTGGGGTAGGGAGGGTCAGAGGAAACAGCCTCCTTATGGGGAAAGACATCTCAGTGGCCAAATAGATATATGAAGTAGGAGGGTTGGGATTTCAGAACCCCAGAGGCCCCTAGAGATCGCCCAGCCCCACCCTTAATACTTACCTGGCAGAAACCTGAAATTGGAAAGGTTGGTGACTCGCCACAGTCACTTGCACCTTCTGCTTCTTCTCCAGGTTTTAGAGCTTCCTTGTTAGTTTCCCTTGAGCTCCTCCCCACGTAGGACTGTGTGACATTTCTCAGTCCTCACTGGTCATTGCTGCTCCCTCGAGAGAAGTGAAATTATTTGTCCCAGTTGATGGAATGGGGTTCTTTATTGCCAGGTCTATGGCTGGTTTTGAATGTGGTACCCAGATTATGTCTCCGTAACTTTGGAGTTTGGAAATTTTCAAATTGATACACAAATTGAAAGAACAGTACAGTGAGGACTCATTTACCCCACACTTGGATTTACCAAAGTAAATTTGCTTTCTCTATTTCTTTTTGTTTTTTCTTTCTTTCTTTTTTTTTTTTTTTTTTTTGGGGGTTTTTGCTATAGGGTGCATGTGCTCACCAGAAAGACAGAGAGAGACAAAAAGTGAGAAATCACCCCCCAGGGGGGATGGCCACTCTCCTCTCGGAATCTTGGTCACATACGCATATGTGCCCGGCGTGAGTTTAAATCACCAGGTCCGGAACTCGAACCGCATCGACTACATAGGAGTCCAGCGACATAGCCATTACGCCAACTTCTGGTCCCTGCTTTCTCTATTTCTAAACATACACACATACATTTTCCCTTTTTTTTTTTCTTTTTTTTTTTTTTTTTTTTTTTTTGGAGAGTTGGTTTTGTTTGTTTGTTTGTTTGTTTGTTGTTCTTTTTGCTATAGGGCATGTGCACTCACCAGAAAGACAGAGAGACAGAAAGCGAGAAATCACCTCCCGGGGAGGATGGCCACGCCACAGTCCCTTCTCATCCATTCTCCTCTCGGGATCTTAGGTACACATGCATACGCACCTGGCATGAGTTCAAGCCACTGGGTCTGGGACTCAAACCACAGTCGACTACATGGGAGTCCAGCGACATAGCCATTACACCAACTGCTGGTCCCTATATTTTCTTTATTTCAGCTAATCGTTAAAATTAAGTTATAGACATCCTGACATGTGACTCAAAAGATTTCAGCATGTATTTCCTAAACAGAGGAATATTATCCATGGGGGACCATAGGTGGCATGGTGATTAAGACACTGGACTCCCACATGGTAGACCATGGTTTGAATCCCAGACCTGGTGGCTTGCTTTTTCACTTTCTCTCTGGTGAGCATTTGTGCCCTATAGCAAACTTAAAAATAATAATACTAAATAAAAATACATAAAAATAAATTAGAAAGGATATTTTCCACAAAACTGTGGCACCTCAGCTCACCAAAGCTACTTGTTTATTTATTTATTTATTTTTAAAATTTGCCACAAGGCATGTGCCCTCACTGGGATGAGAGAGGGGTAGAAAGAGAAAGAGAAAGCAACCTCCATGGGGGATGGTCATGCCACAATCCCTTCTCTTCTACTTCTCCCTCCTGTCAGAATCTTGGACAAGCACACACATGTGCCCAGAATGTTCTTCAAAATGCTGGGTCCAAGACTCAAACCAGGTATTCCACTCAGTAAGCCAAGTGGGTTCCAGCTGTCTTAGTCACCACACCATTGGCTGACCCAACCCAAGCAATTTAAACTGATACAGATTTAAATCTCCCCAAATGGCTCCAGCCTCTTCCTCTATAGCTCGCTTTATTGCCTGAATGATTTTAAACAGTGCTGCAACATTGGTTAGTTGACTGGACAGGGATTCCTTGCACAGTGGGCATCAGAGACGTGCTTATTTCCTGCATTTCCAGGGCTTGGTTTTTGGCCTGAGGTGAAGGGCTACATACATTCAGGGACTAGAAGGCTGAATTAGCCCCAGGCAGGTGCATTATAACAGGGGACACTGAACTCAGTTTTGGCTTCAAACCAGATCCAGACCAAGACTGTGGCCCAGTGCGTGGAGTTCTACTACACCTACAAGAAGCAGGTGAAGATCGGCCGCAATGGGACTCTCACCTTTGGGGATGTGGACGCGAGTGATGAGAAGTCAGCCCAGGAAGAGGTTGAAGTGGATATTAAGGTGACTCCTTTCCCAGCGTCAGCTGCTTAGAGCCTTGGCTGGGTTTAGGGCCTGGGCTCAGGTGGGAGCCCGAGGCCATGCTCTCCAGCAGGTGGAGGAAGGCGGTGGCCCTGACAGCCCTAAGGAGCTATGTCCTGGGCCTAGGAACTCTGGGCTCCCCTCTCTAGACTGTTGATACCATAGCCATAATGCATTGTGTCAATTCAGGACACAAGAAATCTCCCACGATATTGGCACCAGCATCAGCTTCCTGTCTCCTCATAGCAGTCCTCTAATACTGTTTTCCAAACCTAGTCGTTCTTGTATCACTTTTTAAATTTCTGCTCTACCTCCTTGTGTCACCATTACTATTTTTGTCATGTCTGCATGTGCTAGTACTTAATATTTCATTTTAAATCAACTTATATTTTACTCAAAAGAAAGTTCTATGTGATAATTGAAAATAGAAAACCAGTATTGTTTGCCACATAATAGAAGGTACTGGTAAAAATAAATATATAGTATATGAAAAACAAGCCCTTGACAGTGTTATTAAATTCTGGCTAGATACCATGTTACCTGCCAAGGCTCTGGGACGAAGGCCTGGCCTCTCTTTGTTGAAAAGATTGTCAAGTCTAGAGAAAAGACACATCATACCAGCCTAGGACTGTGCCCTGATGTGATCAGAATGAAAAGAGTTAAAAAGAGAATGTTACTTAATTCCATACCATATATCCACCAAACATCATCTTGGGGTTAAAGTCCACACTGGGTGACAGGTGATAGGCTCATTAAATTTCTTAACAATCCACTGTTGAATTCAAACATTGCCTAGCTCCTGATCTGAGACAGGAGGTGGTTTGGTCCTCATTTTGCAGATGGGAAGGGGGTAGAGATAGAAAATGTATTACGAAGATAGTTTGGAATTGGAGCTCAAGGTTCCTGCCGGGCTCACCAGATCACTGTGCCCAAGGAGGTATCCCCCCAATATCTGTACAGGGAACAGGCTTATGAAGAGGGACTAGCATAGTCTCGTCCGGCCTTTGGCTCTCTCTCAAGTGCTCAGTCTCATCCCGAATGCTCCCAGAGCTCAAGACTCTTCTGTTCCCAGAAAGACTAGCCATGAGAGGGCTGTGACCTGTAACAGAGTCCTAGCACTGCGCTGAGCGAGGCCAGGCAAGCAGAACTAGCGGGCGAGTGAGCCTCTGGCTGGGTCAGAATCTACGCTGTGACAGTGTGACCGGGCTCTAGGCTCAAGGGCCTTGTTCTTGTTCCCCATAGACTTCTCAGAAGTTCCCAAGGGTGCCTCCTCCCAGAAGAGAGTCCCCAAGTGAAGAGAGGCTGGAGCTCAAGAGGGAGGTGAAGGAACCCAGGAAGGAGGGGGAGGAGGAGGTACCAGACGTCCAGGAGAAGGGGGATCAGGAAGAGGGGCGAGAGCGCAGCCGGCGGGCAGCGGCCGTCAAAGCTACGCAGACACTACAGGCCAATGAGTCGGTAAGTGTGACCTCCACTCGCTGAGCCCAGGCCAGGAGGAGGCCCAGAGCTGGCCGAGGGTGTGGAGGGAGGGCAGAGCAGGAACATGGTGATCATCGTCATCATAACAGCCAGAAGTGCACGAGGCAGTTGTTGCTGTTAACTCCTTTCATCCCCATAACCCTGTGTGGTAGGGACTGCTATGATCTTTTCACAGTGGGGAAACTGAGGCCCCATTCCACAGCTGGTAGGCAGCCTGACTCGAGTGTGCTGTTCATTTTTATACTAAACTACTTTGGTCTCTGAGATTCAGAGGAAGAGGCTTTGTGAAAACACAGTAGGTGTGTGGGCTATTGGGGAGGCAATCATGAGTTGCAGCCGCGGCAGGATGCCCCTAGAGAGCTGCAGCCCTGATAGGCATGTCCGAAACTGGGACCAGGCAGTGGCGCAGTGGTAAACTGTGATGTTTCGCAAGGCTGACCTACATGGGAAGGATCCATGTTCGGATCTGGAGAGCTCCCTGCATGTGCTGGATGTGTGCATACATGCCCATCATTCGGGCTGGCTGAGGTTAGGGCATCAAGACCCTGTTGGGGGCGCTTCGTCTCGCTCTTTCTCTCTCTGTCTGTCTCTTTCACTCATAAAGAAAATAAATAAACTTAGGGACTAGCATAGTCTCGTCCGGCCTTTGGCTCTCTCTCAAGTGCTCAGTCTCATCCCGAATGCTCCCAGAGCTCAAGACTCTTCTGTTCCCAGAAAGACTAGCCATGAGAGGGCTGTGACCTGTAACAGAGTCCTAGCACTGCGCTGAGCGAGGCCAGGCAAGCAGAACTAGCGGGCGAGTGAGCCTCTGGCTGGGTCAGAATCTACGCTGTGACAGTGTGACCGGGCTCTAGGCTCAAGGGCCTTGTTCTTGTTCCCCATAGACTTCTCAGAAGTTCCCAAGGGTGCCTCCTCCCAGAAGAGAGTCCCCAAGTGAAGAGAGGCTGGAGCTCAAGAGGGAGGTGAAGGAACCCAGGAAGGAGGGGGAGGAGGAGGTACCAGACGTCCAGGAGAAGGGGGATCAGGAAGAGGGGCGAGAGCGCAGCCGGCGGGCAGCGGCCGTCAAAGCTACGCAGACACTACAGGCCAATGAGTCGGTAAGTGTGACCTCCACTCGCTGAGCCCAGGCCAGGAGGAGGCCCAGAGCTGGCCGAGGGTGTGGAGGGAGGGCAGAGCAGGAACATGGTGATCATCGTCATCATAACAGCCAGAAGTGCACGAGGCAGTTGTTGCTGTTAACTCCTTTCATCCCCATAACCCTGTGTGGTAGGGACTGCTATGATCTTTTCACAGTGGGGAAACTGAGGCCCCATTCCACAGCTGGTAGGCAGCCTGACTCGAGTGTGCTGTTCATTTTTATACTAAACTACTTTGGTCTCTGAGATTCAGAGGAAGAGGCTTTGTGAAAACACAGTAGGTGTGTGGGCTATTGGGGAGGCAATCATGAGTTGCAGCCGCGGCAGGATGCCCCTAGAGAGCTGCAGCCCTGATAGGCATGTCCGAAACTGGGACCAGGCAGTGGCGCAGTGGTAAACTGTGATGTTTCGCAAGGCTGACCTACATGGGAAGGATCCATGTTCGGATCTGGAGAGCTCCCTGCATGTGCTGGATGTGTGCATACATGCCCATCATTCGGGCTGGCTGAGGTTAGGGCATCAAGACCCTGTTGGGGGCGCTTCGTCTCGCTCTTTCTCTCTCTGTCTGTCTCTTTCACTCATAAAGAAAATAAATAAACTTAAAAAAAAAATAGAACGTCTGAAGCTGAGCTGAGCCCATGGGGATAACAGTAATGGCCCCTCACACATGTTCTCCAAAGGGCTTTCATTTCCAGGATCTCATTAATCCTTCACAGTTACCCCATTACGTGTTAACCCTGACTGGGCAGGTGGAGGAACTGGTTCCGAGACAGAGTGACTGGCCTGAGGTCACACCCCAGGTCCTTGAACTATTCTAGTGCAGTGCTCTGTCCACCACATCACAGACCGAGAAGCAGGGCGTCCTGGCCAGAGCGGCACCATTCGGGGAGAATTCTCCCTGGAAGGGGTGTGTGTGGGAACTCCTGTGCGAGTCCTTTCATCCCCCTAGTGCGCCGTGCACCTCAGCCTGCAGAGCCCCTGTGAGCGTACACGCGCAGCTGTTGCGCCCATCCTGACGGCGCTGCACCAGCAGCTGTGCTCTGTGTACACGCTGCATCGAGCTCTGCTGACTGTGACACTCCCTGGAAAGGTGCCCAGTGTACATACTTATCACTTCTGGTGGCCGCTAGGACTCGCCCCACCTGCCCGTGTAGCGCCTCCTCCAGGTCTGCACTCCACTGGGCTCTGCCGCCTACCCTTCCCCTCTCCTCCGCATTTCCCACATTGCCCTGTGCTAGCTACTGTACTTGGGTCCCTGCCTCTAGATGGTGAGTCCTCCAAGGACAGGGGCTCCTGGCTGTCACCCTCTATGCCCTGCCCTGGCACATCGCACTGACTCGGGTCTCCTTCATGGAATGGAGGCATGCATGCATGAAACGACAGAAAACTAGAGCAGGCATTTCCTGAATCTAGGTAGCAAGAGCCCCTGCCCGAATGTCACATCCTGAAGTCCTGTCGAGGCTAGGCTGCCCCACAGAATTACTGTGCCAGCAACAAAGACAGAGTGGGCCAAATACGCACTGGGTGTCTAATGAGGCGTGATTGCCTTGTCACTGGCAGGACTCAGGTGCAGGGTGACCACAGGCAGGAGCATATAACCCCTGAGATTCCAGAATTCAGATCTGCACTTCCCTAAATCACTCACCCCTCCCACCCCTCTTGTTTGCTTCTCTCCAGGCCAATGACATCCTCATCCTCCGGAGCCATGAGTCCAACGCCCCTGGGTCTGCCGGTGTCCAGGCCTCAGAGAAGCCAAGGGAGGGACCAGGGAAGTCACGAAGGGCACTACCTTTTTCAGAGAAGAAGAAAAAAACAGAGGCATTTAATAAGACCCAGAATCAGGAGAACACTTTCCCTTGTAAAAAATGTGGCAGGTAAGGTGGCCAGCTCTGTTCCCACGGGGACCTATAGGGGACAGGACAGAAGAGGGCCTGGGAGCACTCACCCACTCCCCCACAGTGGCTCAGCGGGTTTCCAGGGCAGTGATGTTATTGGGCAGCTTTTGAGTGGGCAGAGGGACAATGGCAAGGAATCTGAAGCCCATCCAACCCCAGGTGAGGGTGGACCGGTGTCAGTCAGGAGAGGCTGCCCAGTCCCTGGGGAGATGGGGGTCTTGGGTATGGGCTACCCCCGCCTGAGCGCGTTGCTGCCCGGCTGCAGGGTGTTTTACAAGGTAAAGAGCCGCAGCGCACACATGAAGAGCCATGCGGAGCAGGAGAAGAAGGCCGCCGCGCTGAGGCAGAAAGAAAAGGAGGCAGCCGCTGCAGCCGCCGCCGCCCACCAGCAGCAAGCCCTGCGGGAGGAGAGCAGCGCCGGCGAGAAGGGCTGAGCTCCCTCTCCCTGCACTGCAAGGCCCACGCAGCCCAGCCCAGCCCACGGACTCCCGGCACCTCTGGAGGGGGTGAGGAGAGAATCACGTGGACTTTTCTCTGCAAAACAAACAAGACAATGAAATAAACAAACGGCTCTTTTATTTATAAAGGCCCCGGAGCTGTGTTAAGGGCTGCAGGATCCAGTTCTCTTTGCATTGGTTTGTCGGAAGCTGTCCTAGAGCCTTCCTGGAACTGAGATTCTGGTCCTTGGGAGGGGCCCCCCGGGCCTCTCACACTCTGCTGCCTCTGCTGCCCCCAGTCTCTTCCCTTCTCTTTGCCTGCCCCTCCTCCCCTCTGTCTCCAGGAAGCCACCATGGCCAGCCAAGCACAAGCTCACCCCGCCTGCAGCATGGTTTCCCCTCCCAGGGAACCGGGAAGGCAGCACAGGCCCTCTCTAGCCCAGAAAACGGGCCTCCCACGCGGGGAGTGTAGGGGGCCTCTGAAGGACTCAGCCTGACACTGGGCTGTCCCTGCACAACAGTGTCCAGGCCTCAGCTGCTCCAGCGACTGCATCCTCCCACAGTGCCTCTCCAAAGGGAGGCCCAGGACAGGTACTGTCCTTTTGCTGCTCGCTAGCAGCCCTGCTGGGGCTGGAAAGTTCTTGAAACGTTTGTGGGAGGGGCAGTGTTCCTGTCCGCATCAGCCTACTGCAGGGAAGGGAACTCTACAGGCTACACGTGCCAGGCAAGGCCTGAGGGAGCTTTTGACAAGCCTGGCTGTCCCCAAACCCCACCATGTCGCCAAATTCCTTTGGGCTCTGGAGGTTGCTAAGGGAGCTTAGCCTGGAGCAGGTTCTGGAGAAGCTCAGCCTGCTCCTCCTCAGTGCTCCCTGCCTGCCTGCGCCCTGCCCTCAGCAGCTGCCACCTAAACCCACTGCAGCCCGCCCCACCTAGTGTTGTCCACAGCCCAGCCCCCAGGCCTACACGCTGGAGATTTCTGGATCCTTCCCTGGGAGGGGGAGGTCTCCTAACTAGATTGGACAGGAGCCTTCATTCCTTGACTCGTGTCATTTGGGAGCTATTTATTTATTCTTAATATTTAATTTTTAACATCCTCTCAGGGACCAGGGGCCTCCTGCTTTCCAGAGGCCCAAGTGCATTTATCCCAAAACAAGGCACCTTCTTGACATCCCCATCCCCACCCCTGTTTGTAAAGACCCGAAGGCCCCTCCCTTCGTTTTGGAAGCCCTTCACAATAGGAAGGATAGTAGCACTGAAAGGGGGAGAAGGTAAGGGTGTCACCAGAGCCACACAGACTAGCAGCCGAGGGCGATCAGAGGCAGTTGGTGTGGCTGCTCCTTCCCTAGCTGTGCTTTCAAAGCTGTACTTTTCTCTAGCTGTACTTTTCAAATTGCCTGAGGGAATGGGCAGGAGGCCAGAATTCTAGTTTTGTTTACCAGTCCTGGATTCTGGCTTAAAGAAGCCGTATTCGGCATAGAGTCACTGAAGGAAAGGTTCTGGAGGCTCCTTCCCTTGCCAGTTCCATGGGGAGCTGAGTTATTTTTCCGACCATATTACGTGACTTTAGTTATGCAAAAGAAATTCTAAGTGAATGTGTTTATGGCAGGCTAGCATGTTAGGAAGGAGTCAAAAAGCAGACGAGATAGCCTAAAGGCATTAGATGGGGAACTGGGAGTGGAGAGGGAGTTTCGTTTTTAAACTATGCACTATCAGGTATTTTCCAGCATTCATTTATATTAATATGGTTCTACAGGACCCAAGCTACGGGAGTAACAGACATTTTCCCTCAGGCTTCTGGACAACTACCTAGATCTCCAACTTTCTAGTTTCCTTCCTAGGCTTCTACAACTCATTGTCTCAAGATTGCAAAAATCTGGTATACCCTCTAGAAGCAGGAGGGTAGCGAATTTAGGCTGTCGTCTGAATCACTTGTGTAATGAGTGCCTTCGCAGCTTAGCCCCAAAGTGCTACTTATGTTTCCCAAGGCTTTCTTTTGGTTTCAGGCCCCTTTAGTGACATGCGGTAACAGAAACCTCCTTTGGTTATGTGAGTTGCTTCTGTTCAATGGTGACATCCAGTACTTGGAACTCTTTTTTAACAAGAAAGTGATTCTCCTCTCCTAAGCTTGCAGATCAGACCAGGGGAACCGTAGCTGGGAAGAATCAAGATGGCACCTCTCCGCATTGATCCCACCAGATGTATTTTCGGAGGGTCCGTGCTCCAGGATGCATTTATATCTAGACTGTAATGTGAAACTTAAATGTTTAGAGATATAGTTGTGGCAAGTGACCTGCCAATGAAGAAAATGCAGCCTTAGAAGCTGGCTTAGGTATATCTTAATGGTGCTTTCTCCCTGTGAACGCATTAAGTTTGTCTTTTGTTGTTGGTGGTGTATCCTATTCAGAGCTCTTTGCTTTACAAAGTTAAACGACAAACACCTCCAGCTTTATACTGTCCTCCCCAAGTTGTCTCACCATGCCTATCCCCCAGCCTTCATTCAGCCAAGGGCGTGAAACTGACCTAGTGCCTGTGTTCCGGACCATTTCTGAGGTCTCTTACCATCCAAGGAGACAGTGCCATCATTACTGTCCTCCATGCCTTCGGCGGCCCCCTCACAGCTAAGGTACACACCCAGCCCTCCTGCCATCCACCTTCACCCCTGGCACAGAGGCCTCGTGCTGCTTATGTCTAAAGGGATAGCCTATATTTAACTGCCTCAATGACCTAACCTCTTTCTTCTCAGTGCCAGATGTTATGATGAAGAAGGAATACAACACATATTCAAGCCTCAGCTGTTCATTTTTGCACTGGGGCTCACTTTTCTGGGATGGTATTTAGTACCAGACTGGCAAACCTGACTCCGTAGGTTTACAGGAAGTATGCATATTTTTATAAAACAGTTGTGTCTGCCCTGCATTTTGCTGTATTAATATTTGCCTCTTACTAACAATTTGCAGCTACGTCACCCTTTCCTCATTCGTCTCTAAGTTGAAGGCCTTGTTGGAGGGGACAGAGCACAGGAACAGCCTTGACAGTCTGTAATTATTGTACAAATATTTTAATAGCATATAAATAAGTATATTCCTTTTATTTTGAAACAGAAATGATCAGACACTGCCTTTTGTGTGTTTGCTGCCTGTGGCACCCTTTTTTAAAAAGACTGTTACATATTAAAATAGTGTACATATATATAAATATTACCTCTCTTGCTGTACAGTTGTGATAGACCAGACTGAAGATTTTATTTTTTGTGTGCTTTTTATAAAAAAAAAATTAATACACTAAAGAGAATCTTGCTGATGTGATTGTAATGTACCTATGTAACTTATTTACTTTTGAATGTTCTTCTGTATCTTTAAACCTTTTATTAAATAAGGTTTTAAAAATTCAGAGTTGAATGCAGTATTCTTTGGGGCGGGGATTGTCACCATCTGGGATTGACATAACAAGGCCTATTTTACTCGCAGGGAGATTACTGGACATTTTTGAACCCTGAGGATTCTGTTTACCAGCCCAGTGTCAATAATGCCAGGACAGGGGAGCTATCACACTGGTGTTGCCTGGCTGCAATGATGACTGAGTAGACGTAGATCGTTTTACAAAATTTTAAGAAAAGTCTAAACCAGTGTCTCAGAAAAACACATCAATGGCAGACTCGGAAGTCTTAGTTTCCTTGGGATGAAATGTGAAGGGTGCAGAGTGGTCAGGTGGTAGCGGGAAGGCGACTGCCGAGGGGAATATTTTCATACGCGACCTAGACTGAACGCGCAACCTAAGTGGACACTGCCATCCTGACAGATGCTTTTTCAACAATATCAATTTAAATCCACTCCGGAATTAGATTATTTTTTTAAAACACGGCTCATCATACGAAAAAGAAAATCTGGAGAGAAAAAGGGAATGCGCCATCACAGAAACAAATGCCCACACCCCGCGCTGGCACTATGGCAACAGCTAGACCTCCTCGGCCGCCAGAGCCCGCGGGGCTCCAGTCGTCCGGGACCTTTTTTCCGCTGGCCTCCTCCTCGTCCTTCCCGCGCCTCTGCCGCCTGCGTCCTTGCCTCCCGGAGGGACCGTCGCGCCTGCGAAGAAGCCGCGCGCAGGCCTGCCCGACCGCCGCGACTTCGACATAGTCTCTTTAGGAACGACACGGACTCCCTCCCGCCAGACAACCGCTCCTCGGCCGCCCGAAGCAGCCGGGGCTCGGGCAGCGAACGCCGGGCCGACCCCGGCGGCGGCAGTGAGTCCCAGCGGCCCTGCCCCGCAACCACACCCGCTGGCTCCCGCTTTCTCCTGTCCTGGCAGGCCGCGAACCCCGACCCCGGATAGGATGGCCACCACCGTGTGATTGACTGGCTGAGCTCCCTGAGGCCCGGCTCCCGGAAAGCGCGGACCCTCTGACTTGGGGGCAAGGAAAAGGGCAAGAGCGGTACTCGGGCCCTCGTGGACTGTGACGCGCGAAGTCCACCCACCTCGCGCCTGCTTGGGGAGTGTCTGGTATTCTGAGCCGGTGTTGGTAGAATTGGCGCCGTTGATAGTAGGGAAATGGCGATGACCCTGCTGGAAGACTGGTGCAGGGGGATGGATATGAACTCCCAGAGAGCACTGCTGGTCTGGGGGATCCCAGTGAACTGTGATGAGGCTGAAATCGAAGAGACCCTCCAGGCCGCGATGCCCCAAGTGCCCTATCGAGTTCTTGGGAGAATGTTCTGGAGGGAAGAGAATGCAAAAGCAGCCTTACTAGAGCTCACGGGCGCTGTGGATTACACCGCCATCCCCAGGGAGTTGCCGGGCAAAGGAGGGGTCTGGAAGGTGGTGTTTAAGCCCCCGACTTCCGATGCAGAATTTTTAGAAAGGTTGCACCTTTTCTTAGCTCGCGAGGGCTGGACCGTGCAAGATGTTGCACGTGTCCTTGGGTTTCAAAACCCGGCCCCGGCCCCGGCCCCCGCCCCCGCCCCAGCCCCAGAACTGCCAACAGAGATGTTAAACTATATTTTGGATAATGTTATTCAGCCCCTTGTTGAGTCTATATGGTACAAGAAGCTGACACTGTTCTCAGGGAGGGACATCCCAGGCCCCGGGGAGGAGACTTTTGACCACTGGCTGGAACATACTAATGAGGTCATAGAGGAGTGGCAGGTGTCTGATGTAGAAAAGAGGCGGCGGTTGATGGAGAGTCTTAGAGGACCGGCCGCTGATGTCATTCGCATCCTCAAGACCAACAACCCTTCCATAACCACTGCCGAATGCCTGAAGGCGCTTGAGCAGGTGTTTGGGAGCGTGGAGAGCTCAAGGGATGCCCAGGTCAGGTTTTTAAACACTTACCAGAACCCGGGAGAAAAGTTATCGGCTTATGTCATTCGTTTAGAGCCTCTGCTGCAGAAAGTGGTGGATAAGGGGGCCATTGATAAAGATAATGTGAACCAGGCCCGCCTGGAGCAGGTCATTGCCGGGTCCACCCACAGCGGGGCCATCCGAAGGCAGCTGTGGCTGACTGGGGCTGGGGAGGGGCCGGCCCCTAACCTCTTCCAGTTGCTTGTGCAGATCCGTGAGGAGGAGGCCAAAGAGGAGGAGGAAGAAGCGGAGGCAGCCCTCCTGCAGTTAGGCTTGGAGGGGCACTTCTGAGTTCCAGGAACCCGGTTTTAATGGAGACCCTAGATCACAGCTGCTTTTCTTGTTCCTGTGTGGTCTCTGAGTAGTAAGGACTCAGCTGTTCTCAGTTGTGTGTGTGTGTGTGTGTGTGTGTGTGTGTGTGTGTTTGTGTTTTCCAGGTAGGGGTAGGGGGAGCCAGGCCTGCAACTTCATGTAACATTAGTAAAATTGTGCAGTCAAGCACCTCGAGCTGCTCTAACACCACAAGTCATAGTCATTCCGGCCAAAATGTCAGGTAAAAAGGTTGGACACAAGTGCTCAGTGCAAGCTGTCACTGCTGCATCATTGTCAGTTGTGGAAAACAACCTGTGACACTTTTCATGGAGATGATTCAATGTGAAATTGCATGTTCAGATGTTTAGCTGGTATCTGGCTAACAGGTGTTCTGTTAAAATGTGAACTCTTATTATTGTTGCTTGGAGTTTGTTCACTGTAAATTGTACTAATTTTTATGAATGGAAAGAAATGTGAATTTAATACTCAAGTTTACAAAGCAAACTTATGTCTCATCTTTAAAGATCTAGAAGTTTTATTGAATATATGCTAAGACTACAAAATGGGGTGTTAGGCAAATGGTGCAGTTACGGAGCTGTGAGTCTGGTTTTTCTCTGTAACATGCAGGTGTAAGTCACCTGGGAGGTCTGATGAACGTTACAGTAATCCATTCCTCCATTTCAAATCTTTGTCATGGGATAGTTCTTGTTCACGCTGATTTTAAGTGTTCTAAATTTTGAAGTTATCAGATATATGTATCTGAATAAAAATATTTTTAAAAATTCTGTTGCCTTTTTCCTGACATGTATAAAAATTGTCAGTATAAACTGTCCTTTTTCTTATGAAGACTTTCCATGTCAAGAAGAAAAAACCTTTTATGCTTTATGTCATACTGCATGCATTTGAAGTAAAATACCTTTTAATATATTCCATTTTTACATCTTTCCTTCAAGTCAAATTTAGAAGATTAAGTAGACATACAAGTAAAATATATACAAAAACATTTAGAAAATCCTGAAGTGGGGTTCAGGAGATTATCTGGCAATTATTTTTTCTCTTTTTAAGTTACTTTTTTTCTTTTTACAATTTTTGTTGCACTGAAGGACTGTGAAAATGACTGTCTTATAGCAGCTGTTTTCTATAGAAATATAAACAAGGAAATATGGCCTAAAACATGTTTGACTAGAGACTCAGCGACTCAAGATGTCCATCCTTCCTGATCCTTGGTGAACCCGGAAGTGATCACATGAACAGTAAGTGTCCAGGAGGTTCTCTCCTGATGACGAGCTGGTATAACCACCATGTGGCACAGATTTTAGAAAGGCTAATAAGTACTGGTGTCTTCCAGCTGTTTTTGTACGCTTGTGTCTATTTCCCGTACCATGCCTGTGCCTCCGTCTCACACTCTTCCTCCCCTCACAAACACACCTCCACATGCTTGCCTCCACCACAGGTAATGCATATCTTCACTCCTCCCCCCACGAATGCCATGTCTGTGTCTCCTACCCTCCAGACTCTGATTCTTCTCCACTCCCTCTGGCATCAGGTATTCGTGCTTTTCCCATTGCTCAAACTCCTGTCTTCACACATTACTCCCAACACTCCATTGTGTATATACTCCCTTTTTTTTTTTTTTTTTTTTTTGAGAGATTTTCGCTATAGGGCGTGTGCGCTCGCCAGACAGAGAGAGACAGAGAGACAGAAAGTGAGAAATCACCCCCCAGGGGGGATGGTCACGCCGCAATCCCTTCTCCTCCGTTCTCCTCTTGGGATCTTGGGCACGCACGCACACGCGCCCGGCCTGAGTTTTAAGCCACTGGGTCCGGGACATGAACCGCGGTCGACTACGTGGGAGTCCAGCGACATAGCCATTACGCTAACTGCTGGTTCCCTATACTCCCTTTCGCTACACATGTACACTAAGCCAGCCTCCCACCCCCAGCAAATCTGAGAAATGTCCCACCCATGCCAGCCAGCCATGATTATGTACATTTCCAATCCATGTGTTTTGCTTTTTTGCTAGAGGGCACGTGCACTGATCAGAAAGCACATGCCCAATGGATCATGATCACGTCGTTCCCCCACTTCATCTTGCTGTGGCATGAATGCATTTGCACTGGGTGTATTTTTCAAGCCATTGACACCAGGATTAGGACAACAGTCAGCCATGTGGACCCAGCTCCCTATGCATTTTGCTTAACCATGTACACTGGGCCTATACTACATTGTTAAGAGTAGACCAGCAAATGGCGTAGCAAATCTCTGGAATCCCACATGCCAACTATGGTTCAGATCCTAGACCCGGTGGCTTGAAACTCATGCTGGGCGTGTGTGCATGTGTACTCAAGATCCTAAAGAGGCAAATGGATTGCAGAGTGGCCATCCCCCCAGGGGGTGATTTCTCACTTTCCCCGTTAAGGCAAAACAAACAAACAAAGAAACAAAAAACCCTCTAAAACAAAAAACAAATGGGGTTGTGTTTTTTGTGTTGGGAGGGAGTGTTTTTGAAAGAGAAATTTTTACTATACGATGCGTGTGCTTTCCAAAGAGACAGAAAGTGAGAGATTTCCAGGGGAGATGGCCACACCACAATCCCTTCTCCATTACCCCCTCAGGATTTTGGGCACACACACTCCCTGTATTTCAAGTCTCTGGGTCCAGGGCTCTAACCATGGTCGCCCATGTAGGCGTTAAGCAACATGACTGCTATGCCATCTGCTGGTCCTGTTAGGTTGTGTTTGTACCTACTATGCTATGGGCATCCTTCTGTGTCTGTACATAGGGATATATCTTTTTATAGCTGCCGAATTGATTGCAACCTAGGAAAGGTCATTACCTAAGGTTCTTTCACTATTAAAACAATTGTATATATCTACATATACATACATATTTTTTTTCCTTTGGTCATGAGAGAGCACATGTACATGAGAGAGAGATGAGCATTCCCTCCACAGGGTGTGGTCACACCAGAATCCCTTACCTTCATTCTTCCAGCCCATCTGACCCTGGGTACTCATGTGTGTGCCTGGCATATTTCAGACTGACTGAGCCAGGGATTTAAACTGTGGAATCTGGCTTCTTTTGAGAAGTACCTTACTGCTGTACTGCAGTAAGTGGTCCCGCATTTATGTATTTAACACAGTACACACAAATGCTCAAAAACAGTTGGGACTGGCAGATAGCATAATTGTTATGTTGCTGGACTTGCATGTAGTCGACTGCGGTTCGATTCCTGGACCTGGCAGCTTAAAACTCAATGCCAGGCGTATATGTGTGCATGCCCAAAATCCCGAGAAGAGAAGGGAGAAGGGATTGCAGAATGGCCATCCCCCTTGTGGAGTCATTTCTCACTTTCTGTCTCTGTCTCTCTGGTGAGTGCACACACCCTACAATAAAAATCTCTTTCTCAAAAAAAAAAAGTAAGGATTCTAGATGTCCAGCCTTTGTCCTAGGACACAATGCACTAAAAATAAGAGCAATGAGTTATTGGGTTTTCCTTTTTTTTTAAGAGACAGAAAGAAATCACTCCCCCGAGAAGGGCGGGGGGGGGGATGGTCATGCCACAATGCCTTCTCCATTCTCCTCTTGAGATCTTGGGTGAGCATGCACGCATATGCACCTGGTGTGAGTTTCAAGCTGCCATGTTCGAGACTTGAACCACAGTTGAACACATGGCAGTCCAGTGACATAACCATAACACAATCTGCTGATCCTGAGCAATGAGTTATTTATGATGAGAATTAAGGCTCTTATAGGTGCTGAATTAAAAATTCTCTGCCTTTTAAGGGAAGACAGCAGCAAGAAATGTATCCTTATAATCAAAGAACTGTAGAATGAGAAGTAGAAACAGGCCGGCCAGTGGTGATTAAAGCAGCTGGATCTCCCATGACCGACTGCACAGTTCGAGTCCTGGACCTTGTGCTTTGAAAAACAGCTGAATGCATGTGCATGCATTTCCAAAATCCCGGAGGAGAATGGAAGAGAAGGAATTGCAGTGTGGCCATCGCCCCTGGGGGGTTCTTGCTTGTGCTTATTTGCTCTCTGGTGGGCACATGTGTCTTATAACAAACTAAAAAGAAAAAAAGTAGAAACTGAACTATAGTCCTATTCTGTGACCGAGATTATTGGGTCATTGCAAAAGTCATGACACATTTTTGCACAGAAACACACAGAAAATACATCATGACTTTTCCAACAACCCAATACATTTTAGCTGATAGCACAGAATATGTGCTAGCAAAATGTGTGAAGTTATTGCTGTTTGTTCCTGATTCTTAATTTAATGGCCTATCAGCTAACCTTTACCTTGTCCATTGCTGGAAGGAGGACTAGGAATGGTCGAGTGCATAGTAACTTGCTGCCCCTGGAAGTGCTCTCTCCAGGAGTCTAATTAATGTTAGGTGGTGGCCAGGGAACTTTTGAGGAAAAACAAAAAATTGAGATAGGAGATTACCTTTGGTAGTGAACTACTGAAAAATTTAGCATAAAGGAATGTGTCACTGGGGCCAGCATGTGGTGTGGTAGTTAAGGTACTGGACTCCCTCATGGCTGAACTCAGTTAAAGTCCCTCACCTGGTGGCTTGGAAATCACACCAGGTGCGTGTGCATGCATGCCCAAAACTCCAGGAGGAGAATAGAGAAGAGATTGCAGCATGGCCATCTACCGGGTGGGAGGTAGTCGGGGAGGTCTCACTTCCCTTCTCACTGTCTCTGGCGAGCACACATGCCCTATAACAAAAACTTTAAAAAAAAAAAAGTGTCAGTATCTTTCTCCACACATACACATACAAGCTGCCAGCGATTGAAAGGCTGAATTTCTTCAGAATAGAGTATCACTGGAAGTTGATCAGCTAAAACTAATACAATGAAAAAAGATACACCTTTTTTTTATAAAATAACCCAATTTATTACTATTTTAAAACAAATCTCACAACATCCAGAAACTCAACATTTCTAAATAATTTAACACACAGTAGGTTTAGTCATAAAGTCATGCTATAAAATTCCTGTGTATAAAAGATTACGAAAGTATTAATAGACGTTAAACTGTTCAGAATGGAGTTGGTTCTACAAGGCAAAGATTCTGGAATGACGCTCGCGGTCATGCCTGACAGCCTGGGAGAAATAGCTGGCCGGCTGCAAGTTCTCTACACCTTCCAGCTCGCCAGTCTTGTGATGGAATTGGCCCTCTAGGCAGTAGCCCTCAGAGGCAGGTACCCTACTGATCAAAGAAGCACAGAACTTGCCGCCCGGACAGTGTTAGTCACTTAATTTAGCTGACATCTAAATGTTCTATCCTGCGTAGGAGAACTACTTAGCACATCCCCAGAGGGATGATCTTGGATGCAGCAAATCCAGAAGATGACCCAAGTAGGGAAATCCTGACACTGATTATGCTGACAGCAACTGCTCACGTGGGCTTCGAATGAGTGTGGGTGAGGTTTGATCCTCAAACATCCACGCGTAGGCTAGGTATTTATCCATCTGCCCTTTGGAAGTACTTTCCACCAACATCCAGTTCTAAATTTTAAAGTGCAAATCTACTGAAAAATAGTTTACTCTCACCCACCCTGCCTTGTTACGTTTGCTAGATCATAATTTAGTTGGCTGGTTTCCCCTTAACCTGCCCAATATGAGAAATCAACTAGAATCCAGTTGTGACTTCTCCAAGTGCCCAGTGAAAAGTTTTACCAATTTATCTTAGGTCAGAAAAAGGTAAGATTCAGTCTAGTTTTTCCTGCCAGTTTTCCTCCTTTACAGTTATTGATTTATTAAAAAAGAATAGAGAGATATAGATAAGGTACATCATTTCTAAAAGTTCAGTAATTTTTAAATAAAACCTTTGATTATTTTATTTTTTAAAATTTCACCTATCTTATGGTTTTACAAAAAGAAAACATGACACAGGCTACGTTAAGCTAAAGGAATAAAGTAAAGTCAGTTAGCTGTGTCAGGAAGCACCACCTCTGCTACACTGAATCCTGTTTTCCGATATTGACAGGCACATCAAGGAAACGTATGCCCCAGAAAGAGTTTCAGTAAAGGATAACTTGCAGTTTAGCAGTGCTCTTTCTTTCCCTGATCTTACACTGGCCTAGTAAACTGGTCTGAGAGACACTCAACTGCTCCTGACTGATGCTTTGACACATGCCTGTCCCCTCCTCCAAATTTTGTAAGTGGATGATTAAACCCAACCTTTCTGGGCCTTAGGCTTTTCCACTGAGCCTAAGGAAAACCCAGGTAGAAGATTCCAATTCTACTTATACATCACCAACTCTGAGACCAAGTCAATAGTCAAGATTCATTTCTCATTCCTCGTTATTCTGCTTCAGACTACCGGTAAAAAGGGGTCAGAAGCAGCACCTATCCACAGGTCCGAATTCCTCTTTGCACACAGGGACCACGCTGAAGTGCCTCATACCACCTCTGTAAGTAGAGTGGATCCAGTGACCATACCAAGTTATTCACAGTCGTCATAAGCAGACCTTCTCCTGATCACACTCAAAGCCAACGTTTACACCTGCTAACTTTCATACATGATTATCAAATTTTACACAATATTCTGTATTTAGTGACTGCCACAGTCTGCAAAATTACACAATGATGCTTAAAGGATGACAATCCATTTCCTAAGTACACTCAAAATATTAGACTGTAGAGACAAAGCAAAATTGATCATAAAGTTGAATTCTGTGAATAGTAAGAGAGGTAGGTTAATAATCACTGTCCTAAGATAAGCCAAGAACGCTGAGAAAAAAAGTTGAGACCCTGCTGAAAAAAAGGTAAGTTTTTTAAAGATAAACTTCAAGCCCTGAGTTTCTAATATTATATGAGAGCTATGAAAAGGACATTTTAAAACAGGAAACACCAGTGGCCATTTCCTTCTATCCAAGATTATGAAATACATTACCTTTTCCCATGCAACTCAAATGGCATGTGACTACTGAGTGAAAATAAACAGATCCTGGGCAAAAAGAATGCTGATGTAAAAAATTTTAGCACAGGTTCTTGGGCCAGCAGGTGGCACAGAGGTTAAGGTGGCTGGATCCCACATGGTGTGGTTCAAGTCCTAGACCTGGTGCCTTGAAAAACATTCTGGACATGTATATGTCTGTACCAAAATATCCCAACTCTGGGGAATGATTTCTCACTACCTCCTCCCCACTGCTGGCCCTAAAACCTGCAAGCATATGTGCCCTATAGAATACTAAAAAAAAAAAAGAAAAAAAAAAGTACAGGATTAACTGGGGAAGATTTTGTTCCTGCCAACCCTGCTCCAGGGTAGAGACGGCAACGTCTGGAAACAAGTTTTGTGGTTGTAACTGGGAAAGGGGTCCTATTGGCATGTAGTAGGCAAAGGACAGAGATGCTGCTGAATCTCCTACAATGCATGGCACGGCCCCCACAACAATGAATTGTCCAGCCCAAATATTAATAGTGCCAAGTTGAGAATCTCTGGTTCAAAGAAACAAATTCCTATTAACAGGATAAAAACCTTTTAAGGCCTGCCTATGGAGTTAGGTAAGCTTAGAGTTAGGTAACAGAGAAGTTGAATTCCTTGGTGGACTAAAATCAAAATTGTGATAAAACATTAAAGTAACTGGACTAATTCCAGAATTTCTAAGAATAGAATGTAAATGATCCACAAAAATAGCGTAATGCTTTAAAACAGGAAGACAGAGGGAATCTGTCCCAAAAAGGTCAAATACCTAATCTAGGAGGTATAAACCAAAGATTTAATATCAGTTAAATTTGTAGCAGTAAAGGATAACTTAAGGAATAATCTAAGAAAATCCTGAACTATTTTATTTCATAGCCCTACTTTCCATTTTCTAACGGCGTGGATTCTGGCTTTAATTCCATGAATAGGGATGTTCAGAAGTCATTCAAATATTTGTTGAGTGGAACTGAATATGAATTTGGTGTGAAATGGACATAGAAAAGCACCTTACATTTCACTGAGAACTATCAGTAATTAAAAGATATTAAGAAACAAGGAGAATAAGAGAAAATTTGTTTCTAAAGTACATAATTCAGAAAAACCAAACACCTAAACTATAAGCCATTTTACAAATTCAATATGAAGTGATTTATCCTCTATTATATTCGCTTCCAGGGTAATTTTTAGAAAAGGTACCCAGAGATAGCAATAAGGCTTCAAGCTTGCCTAAGAGATGAAATGCAAACTAAATAGCAAAGATAGGCTTCCCTCAGCTTGCGGGCCTTCAACTTCACCAGGAATGAAGGCTCATTGCCTATGATGCACCAAAAAACAGGCAGCCCAAAGGCTTTGAATGTATAGGCCAGTCAGAAAGTCAGAATAAAGTGTTTCTTTGTTTCCTATCAGATTGAAAGGAAGAGCTAAAAGCTAAAGTGTCAGGCTAAGTCTTCCTTGTTTGTATTTAGAGTTGATTGTCAAAGCACTGGTCCCTTTTGATCAGAGTGACTCAGAAAAATCAAGTCATTTCTACTTAAATCAGAGCCGAAAACCAGGACTACTTATGCAACCACTTTAAAGAAATGATTCTCCCCTCTTTCACTGTGATTTTATACAAGTAAAATCACACAAGGAGTTGGGGAAACAATCAATAGTCTCTACTGGAGCGACTTCAGGCACAATTTGGCAGAGGGCCACTGACTTTTCCGTAATCTATTAGGGATTCAGTCATGGCCTGCTTTCAACTTCACCTTGTTACTGACTACAGTGTCCTGCACTTTCCAGACGGAGTTTTCTTCATGATAAATTCTAATCTCTGCATCTGACTATTGCTTTGCAGTTCTGAGGTTAAATCACCTACACTGCTTCATACACGGGAGGCCATCCTCAAACATTGCCATTTGCTGGGATCCCACATTGAAACCCTCTTCTCTCTTCCCTCTACAAACACTTACGTAATACATTTTCAAAGCAATTTAACTCTGGACTTCTCAAAAAATATATTTTGAAATATCGTTTCACTTGTTGAAAGGTACCAAATGCACTCCTTCCATCTGTACCCTTGTAACCATAACGATTACTGCCCCAACAATGAGGGTCACCAGACCAAATTATTAGGGCAAATGTTGGCATATATCAATGGCCGACAGGCCAGGAATTCAAATATAATTACTGTTTTCAACACATGAGGAACAATAAACCAAATGTGTGTTTAAGGCCAAGTCCACATGAGTAACATGGTCACATTATTGGTCAAACGAATAATCATGACAGTCATTTTAATCACTGACCTGGATCACAGAATGACTGTTCACGATGACTCAAGTGGCCATGCATGTAAACACAACCTGAATTCCAGTTGACAATGCACACATTTTTGGAAAAACAAGTAAGTAAATATAACATGGGCTCAAAGGCCTCCAAGATAATTATTTTTTTCTTTTATCACCATAAATTTTTCAACTAGACTTGAGAGTGTTGGTGCTAGGGCTGCTGCTGTACTTCGAGAAGTCTTCATCGGCATGCTGCCTTCGAAATCAAAGGCATGAAACATTTGTGCTTCTGAGTCCTAGGAGGGAGACCTCCAAGAAACATGTTCTACAGATTCAAAAGTATATCTTTTAAATTGCTTGACTTAAAAAAGAAAAGCTAAACGAACTAAATCAAGAATATTTGTTCCTTTGCTGTTAAAAATGACTGGTCTATAAAGGTTTCAGTAGATAGGATTACATAGTACATAACTAAGACTGGAGATTAAAAAATGGAAATTTTCTGGTTTCTAAAAAAGATTAAAAATGGTATTACCAGTTTGGGGGATGAACACTGAATAGGTTAGGAAAAGAACAGGAATGAGGGATTGGTTTTATCTTAAGAACATTTTGCCCCACACACAATCTTTAAAATAAACAATTATACAAAACTTATCTATTGTTCTTATGACATTTAAATAAGTTAACACAAGAAGGAAAATGCAGAGTTAGTTTTCTTCTTCCTCATCCTCTTTAATCACTGGAGTTCCTAAAATGAAAAAGAAAATAATTTCTGGTCATTTTCAAAAGACTTAAAATTCTAGATGAAAACATTTTCTTGTTAACCTGAGGAACTCTGAGATGCTGTAAAGCATGCCATAATAAAAATAATTTCAGGGCCAGCCAGTGGCATGGTGGTTAAGGTGGCTGGATCCCACATGGCTGACTGTGTGGTTTGAATCCTGTACCTAGTGGCTTGAAAAACATGGTGACCAACAGTTGGCGTAATGGCTATGTTGCTGGACTCCCATGTAGTCGACCATAGTTTGAGTCCTGGACCCGGTGACTTAAACTCACACCGGGCATGTGTGAGTGCGTGCCCAAGATCCCAAGAGGAGAATGGAAGAGAAGGGATTGTGGCGTGACCATTCCCCCTGGGGAGTGATTTCTTGCTTTCTGTCTCTCTGTCTCTCTCTGTCTTTCTGCCAAGCGCACACACACCCTATAGCAAAAACCTCTCAAAAAAAAAAAAAAAAAGAGAGAGAAAAACACACTGGGTACATGTGTTGCATGCCCAAAATCTCAAGAGAAGAATGGAGAAGGGATTACAGCATGGCCATGCTCCCTGGGGTATGCTTTCTCACTCTCTCTACCCCCATACCACCCCCTCAGTGCATGTGTCCTCTAGCAAAGTTAGAATAATAATAATTTCATTAAACTCCTTGATTTCAAATTTTATAAAAAGCCTCTCAGGAGACTTTTCAAATGAATTAAAATAAATACTTATGAATAATCAGCTCCTCAAGTGCAGAGTTACCAATAAAAATGCCTACAAATGCCAGGCAGAAAAATAATGGCTATCACATTAAACACATTCTGTTCTTCATATTTCACAATAAGATATGTAACCCCATTGTTGTCAGAAATCTGAATTTTGGGGGACCAGCAGACGGCATAATGGCTATGTTGCTGGACTCCCACGTAGTCGACCATGGTTCAAGTTCTGGACCCGGTGGCTTAAACTCATGCTGGGCACGTGTGCGTGTGTGCCCAAAATCCCGAGAGGAGAATGGAGGAGAAGGGATTGCGATGTGGCCATTCCACTCAGGGGATGATTTTTCACTTTCTGTCTCCTTCTCTGTCTCTCTGGTGAGTTCAAGTGCCCTATAGCAAAAATCTCTCCAAAAAAAAAAAGAACTTTTCTTTCTTTTTATGTTTTGAATGTTTTGAGATATTTTTGCTATAGGGCACTTGAACTCACCAGAGAGACAGAGAAGGAGACAGAAAGTGAAAAATCATCCCCTGAGTGGAATGGCCACATCGCAATCCCTTCTCCTCCATTCTCTTCTCAGGATTTTGGGCATGCACGCACATGCACCTGTAGGTTTGAAGTTGCCAGGTCTGAGACTCAAACCGCAGTTGGCTATGTGGGAATCTAACAACATAACCATTATGCCACCTGCTTGTTCCTATTAATAAATCACTCTTTATCCCCAGTGGAATGCCAAGCACAATAAGTAAGTTGCTTAAGAAGTGTGCACTGAATGGATTAATGAATGAAGAAAGGGCTTGGGGAAACTATTGCTGTTACACATTTAGCTCTGCTTCACTAGACATCCCAACATGTGCTGGATGGCAAGTGACCCCAAATTTTTTAAAGGTTTTTGCCATACAGTGCACGCACTTGACGGAAAGAAACAGAGGGAAACTGAGAAATCACCCCCCAGAGGGAATGACTATCCCTTCTCCTCCATTCTCCTCTTGGGATTTTTGAGCATGCATGCATGTTTACCCAGCAGGATTTTCAAGCCATAAGATCTGGGACTCGAACTCTGGTAAGCCATGTGGGAGGCCAGCACCTCAATCACTGCACCATCTGCTGGTCCCCCTACAGAACTTTTCTCTTTCTTTTTCTTTCTTTCTTTTTTTAAATCTCTTTATTTGTTGTGATTTTGGAGACACCAGGTCCAGGACCTGAATCACAGTTGGCCATGTAGGATTCCTACACCTCAATCATGCCACCAGGCAGCCAGACATTTTTTATGGCCTAGATTTTTCTTTTTTTTTTCAGTTTGCTATAGGGTGTGTACACTCTACAGAGAAAGAAAGTGAGAAGCCACACCCCAAGGGGAATGACCACACCACCATCCCTTCTTCTCCACTCTCCTCTCAGGATTTTGGGCATGCACATGCATGCACCTGGTGTGTTTTTCAAGTTGCTGGATATGGGACTTGAACAGTGCAGTTAGCCATGAGGGATCCAGCTGCCTTAACCACAATGTCACCTAGTTGATTCAAAGTCTAGGTTTCTTATAAGCATTTTGTCTACAGATGGTCTTATACCACTCTAGGAGTTTTTCATCTCAACCTGGCTCAAATCTGGACCTAAATTTCATGTGGTCAGAGATGGCTGTGAATATTAGACCCAACTATCACCTTTAGTTGTTGTTCTTGTGATCTCATTCCACATATTTGATGTTTTGTTTTTGTTTTTAATTTCACAGAGGGCACATGTGCTTGCTCTGGGGAAAGACAGAAAGAAAAAGGGAGAGAGAAGGAAATAGAGAAAGCATCTCCCGTGGGCCATGATCATGCTGCAATCCCTTTCCGCCATTTCTCCCTCCTATAAGGATTTTTGGCACACATGCACATGTACCTAGCATGATTTTCAAGCTGCTAGGTCTAGAACTTGGACCATGGGACCAGTAGTTGGTGTAATGGCTATGTCGCTGGACTCCCACGTAGTTGACCGTGGTTCGCATCCTGGACCCAGTGGCTTAAAACTCACGCCAGGCGCGTGTGCGTGTGTGCCCAAGATCCCAAGAGGAGAATGGAGGAGAAGGGATTGCAGCGTGGCCATCCCCCCTGGGGGGCGATTTCTCGCTTTCTGTCTCTCTCTGTCTGGCTGGCAAGCGCACACGCCCTATAGCAAAAACCTCTTTAAAAAAAATAGAACTTGAACCACGTGGTCAGTCGTGTGGAATCCTTAAGCTTAACCACCAGGCCACGGGCTGACACTGCCACCAATTCAATTTATACCTATAAAACTTTTCCAAGGCAGTTCTGAGCCACTCACCATCCAGCTTTTTCAGTCTAGGCACTCTCTTGGTTGCCTCTTCAATCCAGTTGCTCTCAGCAGAGTGTTTCTCTTCCAAGGGATTGCCTACAAACACCAAATCTTCCAGGCATGGCAATTCTGCTAGCTTCACAAATTCAGCTACAAATACAAAGAGTATTTTCCAAGTTAAAATGGCAAGCTTTACTGTTCCAACTTTTGGGACTAAATTTTAATATCACTAACCCTTGGTTTGTGACTATTAAGGACAATTAGTTGTTTAAGATTTTGAAACAAGTTGAAAAGTTACCCCATATAAAGTCAGAAGACATTATAGGATGAGAGGAAAAAGAAGACGTATCTCTTCCATCTTCAAAGCTAACCTAAGGATGGGATAAGAACAGGAGATGAAGTGGGACCAGCAGATGGTGTGGTGGTTAAGGTGCTGGCTCATGAAAATCATGGTAAACACATGTGCATGTGTGCCCAAAACTCCAGGAGAAGAATGGAGAAGGGATTGCATCTTCCTAGGGGCTGACTTCTCACTTTTGCTTTCACTGTTTCTCTCTGGCAAGTGTATGTACTCTCAGGCAAAAAACTTAAACAAAAAAGGCTGACACTGCCACAAATTCAAACAAATCTGAAACAAAAAACTTAAAAAAAAAATTGGAAGAAGAGGAGATGAAGTTCAGTGTAGAAAAGAAGAGCTGAGGGACTGGCAGATGGTGTGGTGCTTAAGGTAGCTGGACTCTCACATGGCTGACCATGGTTCAAGTCTGGACCTGGCAGCTTGCTTTCTCGCTTTCCTTCTCTCTCTTTCTCTAGTCAACTTCAAAACAAAACAAAAACAAACAAAAAGATTTTTAAAATGACAATGAATAAAAATAAAGTAATTCTTTAAAAAAAAGGATAGAAAAGGGCAGCTGAGGGGCCAGCAGGTGCCATAGTGGTTAAGGCACTGGACTCTCACATGCTGACCATAGTTCAAGTCCCAGACCTGGTGGCTTGAAACTCATGCTGGGTGTGTGTGTGTGCGTGCACAAAATTCTAAGACGAAAATGGAAGAGAAGGGATTGCAGCATGGCCATTGCCCCTTGGAGGTGATTTCTCACTTTCTGTCTCTCTCTCCTGGGTGCATGTGCCCTAAAGCCAAAATCTCTGAGAATTAAAACAAACAAACAAACAAACAAAACAACAGAAAAGAACAGCTGAGCCCAGTATGTGACATGGAGGTTAATAAAGCTGGATGCGACATAACCAACTGTGTAGTTTGAGTCTCAGACCCAGGGACTTGAGAAACAGGCTGGGTATGTGTGTATGCATGCCCCAAATCCCAAGAGGAGATGGAAGAGAAGGGACTGACATGTGGTCATTTTCTCGGGAGGAGATTTCTCACTTTCTTTCTCTCTCTCTCCCACTAGTGAGTATAAATACGCTATACCAAACTTAAAAAAAAAAAAAACAGAACAGCTGATCAATCTCCAGTGACAGGTTTTCTCTATGCGGTGCTACATCAGTGTAGGCTAAGCTAAACTGCCTTTTTTTTTTTTTTACCCATTCTCTCATCTTAGAATTCTTTTTTCTTTTTTCTTTTCTTTTTTTTTTTTTTTTTTTTTTGCCATAGGGTGCATGTGGTTGCTGGGGACAGACAAAGACAGATTAAAGAGAGAAAGTGAGAAATCGCCCCCCAGGGGAGATGGCCATGCCATAATCCCTACTCCTCCATTCTCCTCTCAGGATTTTGGGCATGCACACATACAAACCCAGTGTGATTTTCAAGTTGCCATGTCTGAGACTTGAACCATGGTTGGCCACATGGAAATCCAGTGCCTTTACCACCACACCACGGGCCGGCCTTGCATCTTCAAACTTATTCACACAGTCTTACAATTATTTGCTTTAAACTAACTTTCACTCCTAAAGTATGATTTCTTTGAGGGCAAGGATAATATCCTGTTTGACTGTGTATGTCAAGAGGCTAGTATAGTTGGGAGCAGCAGTTAGCATAATGGCTATGTCGCTGGACTCCCATGTAGTCAACAGCAGTTCAAGTCCCAGACCCGGTGGCTTAAACTCACATTGGGCGCATGTGTGTGCATGCCCAAGATCCCAAGAGGAGAAAGGAGAAGGGATTGCAGCATGGCCATCCCCCCTGGGGGGTGATTTCTCTCTTTCTGTCTCTCTCTTTCTAGCAAGCACACATACCCCCTATAGCAAAACCCTCTCCAAAAAAAAAAAGAGTCTAGTATAGTTTATGGCAAATGATAGGGCGTTAGTAATGAGGAATGAATAATATACAATGAAACAGCAAAACAATAGAGATATCAAATAAGTATTCTGCCCAAGAGTTATTCAATTGAAACTGATTCTTTTAGCTTTTGAACAATAACTTAACATGACCTATTCAATTATATTCATTCTAAGTAAATACTTAAATATATATTTCAAGTATTTAAAATTTAATGACTCTGGGCCAGCACAGGTGGCATAGTGGTTGAGGTGCTGGACTCCCACATGGCCTAATGCGGTTTGCATCCTGGACCTAGCAGCTTGCTTTCTCACTTTCACTCTTTCTCTGTCTCTCTCTGGTGACTGCATGTGCTCTATCACAAAAATTAAACAATAATGATAATAAATAAAATTAAATAATTCTTTTAAAAAAGTAGGAACTCCGATAACTATTTCTCTCTGATTTAGAAATAAATATTCCCATTTTGCATCTTTTTCCAAATCGGGCTGTCTTCTTTTCTTTCCTTTTCTACTTATTTCTTTCATAAGCGAGGCAGAGAGATAGACAGGCACCCTCAACAGGGTCTTCATTCCACGGCCCTTCCCCTATTATAGCCCTGCAACCAGCCGGGACCCTGAGCGGCCTGAGGGCACACGCTGGGTGGTGAGGTAGACCTGAGATGTGAACACAGAACCTTCCCACGCGATCTCTGACACCGTGCAGCAGTGCCCCAACTGCTTGTGCCACTGTGGCTGAACCCCTAGTGGCCCATCTTCCATAAATAGGAGGTAGAAGCTTAGCAAAGAGCACTTACCCCAGTCTTTCACCAGGTTATTTGACATGTAAAGAATCTTCAGTTTCTTCATTACATGGATTCCTTTCAACTTCTCGATAAAATTATAGGAGATCCACAGTTCTTCTAATGTGTCTCCTACTGCTTCCTGAAAAAGAAAGCAATCTGATTTACATGCTTATTTTTAATCTTTCCCTTCTGTCTCCTTGCTTATAAACATACAGACAATGGCTTCAAAGAGAGCTAAGATCTGCCTGCTCGCTTGTAGGAGAGCTGACTACTGTGTAGTTTAAAAAAAAATTTTTTTTTATTCTCATTAAGAGAGCCAAATAGAACATTCTCTTCCCTTGCTCAAACTGATCTAAACTCTTCTTCTCTGTTCACAAAACATAATAAATTTACTAAGAATAGTTATCCAAATCACCAAGAGGAAAATAGGACTACTTAATCACTTTTATTAAATAGTAGTATTTCCAAACTACCTTCCTCTAGGTAATATAATTTGGTCTTAACAACATTTAAAGTAAAAAAGACAGTTCATTTGATTTCTATTATAGATAGATTAAGGGCTTTTTCTAAGAGCATAGTGTTATTAAATGGTAGAGCTAGTAAATTCAGAATTTTCCCCAACATTTATGAAAATATTCAAACATAAAACAAGTTGATAGGCCAGCCAGGAGAGTTCAGGTAGCTGTTTCCCACATGACCAACTTGTATAATTTGAGCCCCAGACCTAGCAGCTTAAAAATCACTTTGGGTGTAGTGTAGGCCTCCCAAAATCCCAAAAGGAAGGACAAATGAAGGAGAAGGAATTGTGGTGTGACTATGCCCCATGGGCACTACTTCCTTACTTTCCCTTTCTCTGGTGTGCATATATGGCCCCTGACCAAAAATTTAAAAAGCCCAAGAAAAGCATTTTGAAAAACAAAACAACCTATTCCAATAGATTTCAAAATATATTCTTTTTTTTTTTTGGAGAGGTTTTTGCTATAGGGTGCACGCACTCACCAGAAAGAGAGAGACAGAGAGACAGAAAGTGAGAAATCACCCTCCAGGAGGGATGGCCATGCCGCAATCCCTTCTCCTCCATTCTCCTCTTGGGATCATGGGCACGCACACACACGTGCCCAGGTTGAGTTCAAACCACCGAGTCCAGGACTTGAACCACAGTCGACTACATGGGAGTCCAGCAACATAGTCATCACACCAACTGCTGGTCCCAGATTTCAAAATATATTCTAAGGCTAAAGAAGATCATAACGGAGCTAGAACTATAGTTTTTTGGAAAGAACAACCAACACAATGACACTGACCACTTAACAACTTACTCAGGCATATACAGGAGTTCAGGAGGTAGCACTTCCAAAGAAAAAGACTTCGCTAAATGGCCAACCATTTAGAGAAAAAAAAAAAAAAAAGCCCAGATACTTGTCTTCATGATACATATGAAAGTAAACTCCAGATGACTAAAGATATGAACTTTAGGCCAGCAGGTGACATGGTGGTTAAGGTACTTTAAGGTACTAGACTCTCACATGGTCAGCCACAGTTTGAGTCCTGAACCTGGAGTCAAAAATCATACCAGGCACATGTGTGTGCATGCCCAAATTCCTGAGAAGAAAATGAAGGAGAAGGGATTGTGGTGTGGCCATCTCCCCTGGAGGGTGATTTCTTAGTTTCCCTCTCTCTGTCTCTCTCCGGTGAGCATACGTGCCCTATGGCAAAAACCTAAGGAGAAAAAAAGATAGAAACTTTAAACTCATATTTTAATTCCATTTTTTGATAAACTTGTTTGAAGTTCTCTCTTGTTTATGAATTGCTTGATTTCTTTTTTTATGATGAACATATATTACTTTTAGAATTAAAAATTATAATGTGGGCCCTGTGGCCTAGTGTTTAAGAAAGCTGGATCCCACATGAAAGACCACAGTTCAAATCCCAATCCCAGAGCCTAGAATAACATGTCAGGTGCATGTGCATGTGTGCTCAAAACCCCAAAGGATGAAGAAATAAAGGAGGATAGATTGAGACGTGACCACACTCCTTGGGGGGAGGCTTTCTCCTTCTCCCTCTGTTGTCTCTGTCTCTCTCCAGGAATGAGCATCCTCTTGTTCGTAAAAAAGACAAAAAATTTACTTTAAATAATAATTGCGGGCCAGTGGTTGGTTAGTGGTCAGAGCAGCTAGCTTCCACGTGGCCAACTGCGTGGTTTGAGTCCTGGACCATGAAGCTTGAGAAACACGCTAGGCATAGTGTACCCAAAGTCCAGAAAGGAGAATGGAAGAGAGGAAATTGAGGCATTTGCCAGTCAGTCCGGGCAGTGCCTTCTCACTTTCCCCCCTCTCTCACTTTCTCTGTCTCTTTCTGTGTGCTAAAGGGCACACAGGCCCTTTAGCAAATTAAAATAATAATAATAATAATTGTATAATAAGTAATAAAGAACAGATTGAATTACTCAATGAACAGTGCATGCTATATGTATCAAGCAGTACTGTAGATGCTAATGAACAAAACTGACATCAGGATTCTTGTGTGTGAGAGAGACAGATAGAAATAGAGAGTAAATAAGAATTTCCTATGTAATGAGGGTGATGAAAAAATAAAGTTCTAAGTGTTAAGAGTTACTCCCTGGAGGACTGCTTTAGATGTAGGCTGGTTGGGTCTTTTTTGAGGAGGTAATACCTGAGCTGAGATAGATGTAAAGGTTTCTTAGGAGCCAGCATGTTACCCATGGTAACAGTTTTTTTTGGTTTGTGGTTTTTGTTTTTAGAGTTTTTTGCTATAGGGTACATGTACTTGCCAGAGAGAAAGAGAGAGAGAGACAGAAAGCAAGAAATCGTCCCCTAGGGGGGATGGCCATGCCACAGTCCCTTCTCCTCGATTCTCTTCCTGGGATTTTTGGCATGCACACACACACACCTGGCATGAGTTATAAGCTGCCGGGTCTGGGACTCAAACTGTGGTCAACTACGTGGGAGTCCAGCAACATAACCACTACACCATCTGCTGGTCCCCATGGTAACGGTTTTTAAGACAGAGGGAACAGCAAGTACAAAGGTCCTAAGATGGAAATAGATTTGGCACAGTCAAGGAAAAGAAAGATTCCCAAGTAGGGCCTAGCCACAGTAGCACACATTGGACGTGACTGCTCAGCAAGCTGACACCATAGGGGAGGACTGGGTTCATTTCATCATCCTCCCTAAAAGTCTGAGCAGAGAGCCAGCAGGTAGTATGGAGGTTAGGTCACTGGATCCCACATGGCCGGCTGTGTGTTCATGTCCCAGACCCGGTGGCTTGAAAATCATGTCAGTCACATATGTATGAGTGAGGAGTACAAAGTACTGAGAGGAGAATGAAGAGAGAATGAAGGAGAAGAGATTATGGCATGGCCATCCCCTCTGGGCCGGGGTGATTTCTCACCTTTCTGGCAAGCACACATGTCCTATAACAAAAACTAAACAACAACAAAAAGTACACTGAGCACCGTGGCACATGCCTGCAGTCCCAGCTACTCAAGAGGCTGAGACAAGACTGAGTTCTTGCAGCAGCGTGACTTCATAACATAGCAAGACCCCATCTGAAAGAGCTGGGTGTGATGGTGCAGGCCTACGGTCCCTGCTACAGGAGGTCCCAACACAGACAGACGAAATACACACAAATTACTAAGTGCAATACGAAATGAGATTAGAAAGGAAGGTGAATGCCACAGCATACATATGAACGGGCTTATAACATATCTTAATATGGTGTATGTTGCAGGAAGTTGTCCCAAGTAGTTTTTAAACAAACCCTTTTCCCTCAATTTAACATTCCATGTTTCACACACTATGGTAATCATTTGCATTTGCTGAGACAGCTATTTACATGGAGCTCTGAGGCCAGTGTATCTGTATGAATAACTGAGCAGTGTGTGTGAGCCCATGTGAGTGCCAGTATCTGCATTCCTGTGCAGCTTCATATTTCTTTAGCCTACGCTTAACTAGGAGAGTTTTTGAACAAGCACAGACCCACAGAAACACACACTCATGAAAGAAAGCCAATTGTTGAGTCTATTATAGGAGTGTGTAGAAAGTGAAGAGATCTAAGCAAGTGGTAGTTCAGCCAGAGAGTTTCTGGATACATCTTTAATCCCATATTTACAAGTTCTTTATGGCCTCTAAGTATACTACAGTTCATAGCAGAAATTATATACACGGCAACACTTGAGAATTTGGAGTTCTGTAAATTCTTTGAAGACATCAAGTGTCAAGTGTGTGTGTGTGTATTTTTAAAATTTTGCTATAAGGCATGTACATTTACCAGAGAAAGAGAGGGAAAGTGAGAAAGTACCCCCCGCCCCACAGAGGGATGACCATGCCACAGTCCCTTCTCCTCCACTCTCCCCTCAGGATTCTGGGTATGCGCACGCGCACACACACACACACACACACACACACACACACACCCAGCATGTTTTCCAAGCCACCAGGTCCAGGACTCAAACCATGCAGTAGGCCATGTGGGATTTAGATGCCTTAACTTCCACAACATCTGGCTGGCCCCAAGTATCTACGATATTGATCTAAAAAATTCCAGGATATATTTATTTACAAATCCTTCCTTTACAGATAATTGAAATAATGTTTAGGCTGAAATATAATGAATTCTGAATGTCTGTACTACAATTTAATATTCTGCCCATTATGAAAAACGTCCCTATACTGAACATCTTTACCATCTTAAGCCTCAGAGAATACAGAGAAGGTAAAATATCCCTAAATGTACCAACCTACTTAAAACTAAAAAACATCAATTTTTTAGAAATCATTAAGAATTTTACTCACCTCTAATAAGAAAGCAAACAATCATCTGCTGGTTATTAAAGGAAACTTCCCTTACTTAACTCCTGAATCTAATCTCTAAGAATTTCCAAGCACTTTATAAATGTATTAGACACACCTTCTGTGGTAAATGGACACACAGAAGTCGGAATATAGGGCCAGCTGGTGACATGGTGGTTAGGACTGCTTGATCCACATGGCCAGCTGCAGTTTAGGGTCCTGGACCAGAGTGCTTGAGAAATGCATGGGGCACATGTGCATGTGTGCTCAGAGTCCAGAGAAGAGAATGGAGGAGAAGGGACTGCGGCAAGGCCATCCCTCCCAGGAATGATTTCTCAAATCTCTCCCTCCCCCTGAAACTCCTCGCCCTTTATTTCCCTGAAGTATAGGTGCTCTGTGGCAAATTTAAAAAGGAAAAACAAAACAAAAACCAAAAAGAGTAGAAATATAATTCAGAGATTAGTGGGGCTGGCAGCTGATGTGGTGGTTAAGGGTGCTGGACTCCCACGTGGCCAACCACGGTTTGAGTCCTGGGCCTGGCGGCTTGCTTCTCTCTCTCTCTTTATCCCTCTCTGGTCAAATTAAAACAAATAAATAAATGGGTAAATAAATGTAAATAAAATAATTATTTCAAAAATAAATATTTTTTAAAAATAATAATTCAGACATTAGCTAATATATCTGAGATATTCCAAAATGGCACCTCTGAACATTGACTCCTACATAGGTGTTATATGTTTCTATAACGAGGGTTAGTGTCAGGAAGCGCTACAATTTCAACCCCACACTAGCTTTTTTTTTTTAACAAACCATTTTTTCCTTTATTGATGATAGACACATGTGTGGCATGTGAGAGCAAAGGAGAGAGAGACAGGGAAGAGCACTCTGCACAGGGTCTGGTCACACTGCAGTCCCCTTCCTCTAGTCCTCTCGCCTGCTGGCATTCATCTGCAACTAGCACGTTTCAGGCTGACCAGACTGGGGATTTGAACCAGGGGCACCATGTGTGATCTAACTTCTGAGTAGCACATTACTACTGCTCCACAGAGCTGCCTCTCACTAGCTCTTATAAAGCAAAGCTGTGCCTATTAGGAAGAGTAAAGGAATCCGGAGCTATAAAAACTTCAAAACACACAAAAGAAATGCCTTTTTGGGAACAGATACAAGAAAAAGAAACTGGTATCATCCTTCCCGAAATTACTTAGTTTTACACTATTGTTCCATCTCACCTTTTTGGAAGAAAATTTGAATAGCCAATGAATACACAAATAAAACATATTGTCGAAATTTTTAAATGCCCAAGGTTGGTTTGGGGAAATGTGAACTTTCACATACTACTGGTAGAGGTATAAATTGTAACAAACTTTCCAAAGGGCAACTGGATAATATGGCACAAAAGCCTTAAAAGAAATTCATACCTTTTGACCAAGCAATTCCATTTCAAGGAATTTATCCAAGGAATTATTCATGGATGAATGCAATAATATAGCTAAAAGGAGATTCATAACAGCATTGATTATAATAACTCTGAACTAGAAACGAACTAAATAATTAATAAGTAACTGATTTAAATAAATTATGGTGTATCAATAAATGTCATAGATTATGCTGTCATTAAACAAAAGGTATGACTAAAAATTATTTTAAAAATTTAAGTCCCAGGGCCAGCAGGTGGTACAGTGGTTAAGATGCTGGATTCCCACATGGCCAACCAGGGTTTGAATCTCGGACCTGGCGGCTTGAAAATCACACGTGCACGCATGCCCAAAATCCCGACAGGAGATTGGAAAAGGGACTGCGGCATGGTCATCCCTTTAGGGGATGATTTCTTACTTTCCCACTTTACTTTCTCTGTCTATCTCTCTGTGTCTCTCCAGTGAGTGCATGTGTCCTATGGCAAAGACCTAAAAAAAATTTTAAGTGACATTCTCTAATCAAAAAACTCTGATGGCTTTGCAATTCATTTGGAAAAAAAAAATCTACATCTGATCACGGCCTACAAGGCCCTGGCAGCCTGGTTCCTGGCTCCCTCTACATCACTGAGGACCGTGCTCCTTCATTTGGCTCATCTTGCTCTTCCTGAGGCATGTCACACAGTCCCCAGTCAGGACAGTCTGTCTCCCCTGCTGTCCCCTCACCCTGGAGCACTTACTTCTTGTCAGCTCGGTACCCTGCATCTTCATTTCCACCGAGGAGACTCTCCTTACTCTCTGTTCTCTTCATAGCCTCATTTTCTTCACTGCGTCCATCACCACCTGATATGTGATTATTTTATAGTATGTTTCCTGCACTGTAATGTAAGTTCTATGAGAGCAAGGACTTTGTTTTATATTCTGCTCCATCTCTGCTGCCGAGAACAGTGCCTGGCTTAGAGTAAGAATTCATAAACTATACTGAATAAATGTATTGAATGAATGACATAGAAAAATGATTTCTACACATTAAGTAAAACAGGAGATGGAAAACAGTAGTATGATTTCAGTATTACACACCCACTGAAGAATAGAAAAAAGGCAAAAGGTATGTAAATCAAAATGTTAGCGGTGTTTTAAAATTACCAATGGCTTATCATACTTTTTATAGTTGTTTTTTTCTTACTTTTTATCGTTGTTTTTCTACTTTGTAAAGTTTCTGCAATGACTAGTATTATTTTTATACTAAGAAAAAAAATGTGTGCTTTTTAAAAATAAACAACCTACCAGTCCATTTAAGTTCTTTATGTTGTTTCTTCCTAAAGACAATATTCTCAAGTTTTCTGTAGTGGAAAGAAAACAATGTTTGGTTTATGAGAACCATATTACACAATTACTGTAAATCTAGTATAATAAAGTTTCAAAAACTTTTATAAAATAAAATCCTTAAACTTTTATAAAATAAATCCTTAAAATAAAAGCAAGAAAAGGCTGTGTTAATAAAAATAGGTTATCAAGTAGGAATAACATTGACCTATGATCTAAGGTAAACACCACAATTCTAATTTCACACCATCCCAGTATTAAATTTAAAATAGCTAATTGGAATACACAGTCTTAACTTATTGACTAGGGGGACCAGCAGTTAGCATAATGGCTATGTCGCTGGACTCCCACATAGTCGACCGCGGTTCGCGTCCCAGACCCGGTGGCTTAAAACTCACGCCGGGCGCATGTGCGTGTGTGCCCAAGATCCCGAGAGGAGAATGGAGGAGAAGGGACTGCGGCGTGGCCATCCCCCCCTGGGGGATGATTTCTCACTTTCTGTCTCTATGTCTCTGTCTGTCTGGCAAGTGCACACGCCTTATAGCGAAAACCTCTCCAAAAAAAAAAAAAAATTATTGACTAGGAAAAACATTTCAGGGATAAAATAAGAATAAAGAAGATTTTAATTTTAAGTTTTACATTTTTCAAATTGCTTACATTGGTCATCAGGAAAGTCATGATGTTCTTTTTTTAAAAAGAATTTGGTTTTTTTGAAAGGTTTTTGCTATAGGGTATATGCGCTCTCCAGAAAGACACAGAGAAGACAGAGAGACAGAAAGCGAGAAATCACCCCCAGGGGACCTAGCCACGCCACAATCCCTTCTCCTCCATTCTCCTCTCAGGATCTTGGGCACTCACACCCACTTGCCCAGTGTAAGTTTAAGCCACCGAGTCTGGAACTCGAACCACTGTCAACTACATGGGAGTCCAGCGACATAGCTGTTATGCCAACTGCTGGTTCCTTAAAATAATTATTTCTTTAACTTTATTTCTTTATTTAAATTTGTCCAGAGAGGGACAGAGTGACAGAAAGAAAGAGGGAGAGAGAAAGCAAGCCTCCAGGTCCGGGACTTGAACCATGGTTGGCCATGTGGGAGTCTAGTACCCTTAACCACCATGCCACCTGCTGGCCCCCCAACATGATGCATTTTTGTATATAAAAAGACATCATGACTTTTCCGACAACCTAATAGTAAGAGAGCTCACTCTAGAAAAATGAAATACACCTTTATGTATAGTCCACCTCACTCCAGAAAGCATTACAAATACAATAAACTTAGTATTTAAAAATCATGGGACCAGCAGTTGGCGTAATGGCTATGTTGCTGGACTTTCATGTAGTCGACCACGGTTCAAGTCCTAGACCCGGTGGCTTAAACTCAAGCCGGGTGTATGTGCATGTGTGCCCAAGATCCTGAGAGGAGAATAGAGGAGAAGGGATGACGGCATGGCCATCCCTCCTGGGGGGTGATTTCTCGCTTTCTGTCTCTTTCTCTGTCTTTCTGACAGAGCACATGCGCGCTATCAAAAAAAAATCTTTTGGAGCCAGTAGGTGGTGGAGTAGTGGTAAAGTGCTGCATTCCACATGGCCAATTCCACAGTTCAAGTCCCAGACCAGGAGGCTTAGAAAAACACTCCATGTATGTATGTATGCATGCTCAAAATTCCAAGAGGAGAATAGAGAAGAGGGGACTGTGGTGTAGGCGTTCCCTCTGGAAGGTGATTTTTCACTTTTCCTCTTGCTCTCTCTCTCTCTCCAGCAAGCACATGTGCCCTAGAGCAAAAAACTAAGGTATATCTACATATAGATAAATAATTTCTAATCTCTTAAATAATTAGGTTGTAATTTAGTTTAAAAATGAAGTAGGTGGTGTGGAGGTGAACAAACTGGATCCCACATGGCCAGCTGCACAGCTCAAGTCCTGGACCCAGTGGCTTGAGAATCATGCCAGGCACATGTGCATGCATGCCTGAAATCCCAAGGGGAGACTGGAGGAGAAGAATTTGCTGTGTGACCAATTCCCCTCAGGAGGTCATTTGTCTTTGTCTCTGTCTCTCCCTCTGGTGAGTGTACAAGCCATATAGCAAAAACTAAAAAAAAAAAAAGTATTTTTTAAAGGACATTTTTATTTGTATATCTATTGGCTATTTCTGGAAAAGAAAAAACAATAGAAACACTGTTTGCCTTTGGGGAGGAGCTGAGAGTCAGAAGATGACTTATTTTTCATTATAACCTCTTTTAAACTATTTGAATAAAACCCTATGTACATGTTACTTTTCCAAATTAAAAAAATTTTTTTTTCTAGTAAAACATAGGAAGCCACTTCTATTCTAAGAAATTACTATGATTACTCCTGCATAAATTCTACATTTCGTTTTCAGAACTTAAATAGAACTACATTGTCTAATATGGTAGTCACTAACCACATGTGGCCATATAATTTAAATTAACATTAAATATAATTAAAATTAAGTTTCTCTTTCTTAAATTATATTTTTAAATATAATTGTAAATATATTTTTTAAATGCAATTGAAAACTCAGTTTCTCAGTCACATTAGCCACATGTCAAATGCTTAATAGCTATACAGGACTACTAGCAAGTGGACTGGACAGTACAGAGCCCTATTGGATAGTACTTTCTGTAACATCCATAATTCAATAGCAAACAAAATCCAATTAATTAAGTTCCAATCTCAATTCTCTAGGGAAAAAAACAAACTTCTTTGAATCTCAGTTACACAGTTGGCAAAACAGGAAAATATCTTAAGAATAAAAGAATTACATAAGGTAATTAGCAAAAGCATTCAATAAAAATGCCCAATTCATGGTAAATACACAAGAACATGTATGTGCATAAAATATGTGTGTATATAATGTGTATACATATTGACATACATAACTTTAGTTTTATTTCATGAATTATTTTAATTCCTGATGAGAAACGAGGTATTTTAAGAATGATCTACTTCATACAAAATGGCTTAACTATTGAAACAAGACCTGTTATCATGGGCTGAACTCCATTATCTCAGAATGTGACTGTATTTGGAGAAAGATCCTTTAAGGAGATAAAATGAGATTGTATGGAGGGTACTAATCCAATATGAATGGTGTTCTTATAAAAGGGAATTAAGACACAGACAGACACAGAAAAAATTATGTGAAGACAGAAGGAGAAGACAACTATCTACAAGCTAAGAGAGACTTCAGAAGAAATCAACCCTGCTTGACACCTTGATCTCAGACTTTTTAGCCTCTGGAACTATGAAAGAATAAGTTTCTTCTGTTTAAGCCATCCAGTCTACGTGACTTCATTATGCCAGCCCTACAAACTAATATACTCCACATAACTACAAATTTATGAAAATTAAATATTTCAGATAATCACATAATTATTCTTTGAAACTTGTTATTAAAAATTATCATTTTGGGGCCACCAGGTTAGGATGCTGGATTCCACGTGGCTAACTCCACAGTTCAGATCCGGACCTGGCAGCTTAAAAATATGCTGGGCACTTGTGCGTGCCCAAAATACCAAGGAGAGAATGGAGGAGAGGGGAATGCCATCTCCCTCAGGGGTGATTTCTCACTTTCCCTCTTTCTCTCTGTTGTTCTCTGTCCACAGCAAGTACACATACCCTATGGCAAAATAAAATCTAAAACATACATACATATATATTTCTTTTTTGGTTTATATTTCATGTAGAATATAAAGCTTTCAAAACCTTATTAATGCAGCACATGTTTATTGAGCATCTACTTTTTGCCAGAACAGCAATGAACGCTTGCATTACTGCAGTGAATAAGTGAATAAAACAGATAAAAATTCCTGCTGTCATGTAGCTAACACCTGGCAGATAATAAACAAAATTAATTTGTATATTAGATAGTGGTAAGTGTGAAAGATAAAAGAAAAAGCAGATAAAAAGAATGAAATAGCGGATGTTGAGAGTAGTTGACATTTTAAACAGTGATCTAAGAAAGACATGAAGGGGGCCAGCCCCATGGCCTAATGGTCAAAGGAGCTGGATCCCACATGGCTGACTCTGTGGTTTGAATCTCAATCCTGGCTTGAAAACCATGTATGTGTCAGTTTGCCCAAAATCCAAGACAGGATGAAGAAATAGGGGAGGGACTTGGTGTGACCATGCCCTGCTGGAGGTGCTTTCTCCTCTCTTTCTGTGTGTGTGTGTGTGTGTGTGTGTGTGTGTCTGGTAAGTGACAGACACACACACACAAAGGAAGTAAGGGAGCCATGCTGACATCTGGAGAATGAACATTTACAGGGAAAGAAAGTTTCATGTGCAAAGGCCCAGAGGTGGGATCACATTAGAAGAGTTCATATCGATAAAACACATCCTCTCTGATACTGGCTGGCTGGAAGGCTCGGAGGAAGGGCTGGAGAGCCTGGCATCATGAGACACTGTCAAAGATGTCCCTCTCTTTACAGATAACATTTAAGTCGTATTTTTTTTTTTTTACGTTGAGTCCTTTCTCCCTCTCAGCCCAACATTTATTCCTTCATTTAGAATGTTTTCCCCTTTGATTACAAAAGTTAAAGCACACTTATTGTAAAAAATACAACAACAGCTTTTTTGAGGACAATGTAATGTTGTTATCTATGTAATTGCTCTCTTTAGTGAGAGAAAGAAAGTAAAGGGGGAAGGAAGGAAGGAAAAGAAAAGGGGAGAAGGCAATGTGACCACAGAGGCAGAGACTGGAGTGATGCTGTCACAAGCCGAGGAGGGGGCAATCACCAGAAGCTGGAAGAGGTAAGGAAAACATTCTCCTCTAAAGCCTCCAGAGGGAGCTCGACTTGACTTTGCCTTGGTGAAACTGATGCCAGACTTCTGGCCTCCAGAACTGTCAAAGAATAAATATCTGTTGTTTTAAGTCATCAAATTAGAGCAACTGCAGGAAACTAACACTGAGAGTCAGAGGCCTCAGTGATTGGGAGGGTGGCAGTGTCATTAACAAAGATAAGAAACACAGAAAAAATAGGGACAGGGAGGCATTCAATTTTAAATATAAGTTCGAGACATGCAGAAGACAAATCTGAATAAAAAATATATAATTAAAAATGTGATTTTCTATTTAAGAAATTTTAATTCCAACTCTACAAAAGCCTTAAAGTATCTTTAAAGTGTTCAGATTTTATGTTATCTCTAATTTTCTCTGGATAACAAACTTTAGGTACAAAGTTTATATATTCTCTCTGTTATTTGACAACTACTGCAGTTATAACAGGTGCCAGCTTCCAGTATTTCATTTTTGTGTTTCTGGAATGTTTATTCCAACAACTAGAAAATCCAAGGCCCATCTGTTACTGCGGATCACTTACTTAAGCCATTCAGGTTAGCAATTTTTTCAATGCAGTTTGTAGACAGTGAAAGTTTCCTTTAAAAGAACAACAACAAAAATCAGTATTAAAATCTTTAAGTGGTATATCAGAAATCATTCCTCAATAGTGCCCATGGAAGATAATATTTAAGTCATATTTCTTTTTTACACTGAATCCCTTTCCCCCCTTAGTCACAGCATTTATTCTTTTATTTTTAAATCTTATTTTAACTCCCCTATATCTCTCTTCAGAGTTACTTAGTTTTAGTAGTTGGTTTATAGTATCATACACTTTTTCTATACATTTTAACTATTTTTAAAAAATGTTAAGGGGGACCAGCAGATGGCATAATGGTTACATCCCTGGACTCCCACATAGTCTACCATAGTTCAAGTCCCAGACCTGTTGGCTTCAAACTCATGGTGTGTGTGTGTGTGTGTGTGTGTGTGTGTGTGTGCATGTCCAAAATCTCAAGAGGAGAATAGAGGAGAAGGGACTGTGGTATGGCCATCCTCTCTGGGGGGGTGATTTCTTATTTTCTGTCTCTGTCTCTCCAGCAAGTGCACGTGCCCTATAGCAAAAATCTCTCAAAAAAAAAATAAATAAAGGAACATAATTATATACTCAGTTTTTTCTTGATGGTGGAAATGTTTAATATTTCATTAAATTTCAGGCAAAAATATAATAAAAGCTAATTTTAGAGCCAGTCAGTGACATGGTAGGTAAAGGTGACAGGATCTCATACGGCTGGCTGCATGGTTCAAGACCTGGACCTGGCAGCTCGAGAAACAGGGCATGTGTGTGTGCATACCCAGACTCTTAAAGGGAAGAGGTGGAGGAAAAAGAGTTGTGAAAATGCTGTTCCCCATAGGGAGTGCTTTCTCTCTCTTTCCCCCACCTCCTTTTCTTCCCCCCTTCCCCTCTGGGTGAACACAAACACCCTCTGGCAAAAAAATTTTTTAAAAGGCTAATTTTATTGAACACAATGTGTAGCCAATATTCTTCTAAGTACTTTACATGTATTATTTTTTGTCATTAATTTTTTTATCACTATTTATTTGTGATAGAGCAGATGCACAGGAGTGTGAAAGAAAGGGAGAGAGACAGAGACAGAGAAATGAGCACTCTCTTGGGACCAGCAGTTAGCGTAATGGCTATGTCGCTGACCTCCCATGTAACCAGCCGTGGTTCAAGTCCCAGATCCGGTGGCTTAAACTCACGCCAGGAGCATGTGCACGCCCAAGATCCCGAGAGAATGGAGGAGAAGAGATTGCAGTGACCATCCCCCCTGGGGGGTGATTTCTTGCTTTCTGTCTCTCTGTCTCTCTTTCTGGCGAGCACACATGCCCTATAGGAAAAACCTCTTTAAAAAAAAGAAAGAAAGAAATGAGCACTCTCCACAGGGTCCGGCCCTGCCCCATCCCTTTCCTCCAGTCCTCCCATTCATCAGATCTTGGGCCAGGGATTCCAACCACGGTCACCGGTCACCACGTGGGATCTGGCTTCTTTGACCAGTACGCTACTGTGATGCATGTATTAACTATTTTAATCATCCTAACAATCTTCTGAGATTATTATTATTAGCTACATTTTACAAAGGAGATTAGGAAACAAAGATGTTAAGCAATTTTCCCAATATTACATAGCCACAATGTGACAGCGCCAAAATTAAAACCCAGTTATATTTGATTTTAGAGTCTGTGTCTTACTCTTTATGATTTGACTTGAAGAAGAATTACTCTTTTCCTCTCTGCTCTTAAACAGCAAAAGCAATTACCATACAATATAAGTTACTAGTCAAATCTGTATGTTTTCCAGTCACTCCCCCACTCTGAAGAACTACTCGTGAAAAATGGAGTGTCTGTAAATCTAGGAGCACGACTGGGAAATAATTCTTTAATTCTTATTTAGGCAGTCGCTCAAATACATCATCAGCAAAAATAAGAACAGGTTGGCTCTTTCTAAGCAGTTTCCAAGTTGCTTTGGAATGGGGTATAAAATCTTCTCAAGTTTGCTCTATGATAAAAATACTCGACCACTTTGAAATCATGCTTCAATCAAAAAAGAATCCCGAGGTAGATTTTTAGGCAATGCACTGTGCTTTCATCACAAGAGCAAGTTGCAGGTAATAAATACGCTTGCTTTCCAGTCTAATGCACAGGTTCACAAACAGGCGTATAAGAATGACCTAAGTTGCTTACTGTAAAAACAGATTTCTAGACTTCATCAATAGACATTCTGCTGCTATAAATTTGGGATAGAGCTTAGCTCCTGTGTAAAGTATAGGTGGTTGGGGCTAAGCGGTGATGCAGTAGTGAAACAAAACATCCTATGAGGAAGGTCTTCCACATGGGAAGGTTGCTCCCCACCCAAACACATACATGCCAGGCATGTGTTTCAAGCTATTAGGGCTGGGACTCAAATCATGGTTGGCCATGTGGGATTTAGATCCCTTAACCACTAGACCATGGAGCCGGCCCTAAATAAATAAACTTTTTTTTTTTTTTTTTTAATTTACTACAGGGCACATGGGCTCACTGCAGCAGGGAGGATGCAGAAAGAGAAAGCACTCCCTGGGGGGAATGGCAATGCTATTATCTTTCTCCTCCATTATCCTCTTGGGATTTTGAGTATGTACACACATGAGCCCTGTGAGGTTTGCAAGCCACCACGTCCAGTACTTAAACCACACAGTCAGCCTTAACCACCACACCACCAGCTTGCAGGTGGTCAAGTAATCACACTTAGACAAATACAGGGTGAATAAGTCAGAAATAACTCCATTGATTCTATGGTATACTACAGCTCTGAGAAGACACATTGTGGCCTAAAAATGTGGTTACAAGACATCAAGGTATAAGCATCCCCGGTTAGCCACAGAACTCTGCTAAAACATGTGTGGCTTTTATTTATTTATTTATTTTTTTGGAGAGGTTTTTTCTATAGGGCACGTGCGCTCGCCAGAAAGAGAGAGACAGAGAGACAGAAAGCAAGAAATCAACCCCCAGCGGGGATGGCCATGCTGCAATCCCTTCTCCTCCATTCTCTTCTCGGGATCTTGGGCACTCACACACAAGCGCCCAGCGTGAGTTTAAGCCACCAGGTCCGGGACTCGAACTGTGGTCGACTACATGGGAATCCAGCAACATAGCCATTATGACAACTGCTGGTCCCTATTTTTTCCTTTTCCTTCCTTTTTTTTTTTTTTTGCTACAGGGTGTGTGTGCTCATCATTGACAGAGAGAGAGGAGAAAAGAAGTCATCCCCTAGGGTGATGGCCATGCCACAATCTATTTTCCTCTTGGGATTTCAGCCATGCACACACGTGCCTGGCATGTTTCTCAAGCTGCCAGTCCAGGACTCAAACTGTGCAGCTGGCCATGCAGGATCCAGCCACCTTAACTATAACACCTGCTGGCCCCCATATGAGGCATATTTAAAAAATAAATTAAAAGGAATTAATACAGATCTGAAACTTAAAGGTACGGAGAAAAAGGATTAGAAAGTAAGTATAATTTGATCTCAGTTAACATTTTTTTTAATTAGAAAGCTTGGGCCAGCAGGTGGCATAGTAGTAAAGGTGCTGGATCCCACATGGCAAACTCCATGACCCAGTGATTTGAAAATCACACCAGGCATGTGTGCATGCATGTCCAAAATCCCAGAAGGAGAATAGAAGAGAAGGGACTGTGGTGTGGCCATCCTCCCTGAGGGGTGATTTTTCACTTTCCCTTTCTGTCTCCGTCTCTGTCCAGCAAGCGCACACACCCTATGGAAAAAATCTATAGAAAAAAAAAATTAGAAGATTCTATATGAAAATATTAAGACTGGTTATCACAGCATTTTACAATTTTGGTTGATGTTAATCCTTTTTCTTTGTGCTCTATACTTTCTAGAAGTTTTATAATGTATTTTTATAATTTCAAGATCTTTTTAAAAGGAGTATCTCAGACCAGGTAGTGTCACAGAAGTAACACAACTGGACCTACACAGCAAGGTTCCTAGGTTCATGTTCTGGGACCTCCGTGAGCACGATGTGCTCATGCCCAAGCCCAGGACCTGGCAGCTTGAAAATCACAACAAACAAACAAACATTTAAAATTTTAAAAAGTAAGGAGAAGCTAACAGCAATACCAGAAGGCGGTAAGAACTTACTCGCAGTTAGCAAGCATGGACAAAGATGCATCCATCTTCTCTATAGGGGGTATCTGGGCATAAAGCTTTATCTCTTTGGCATCAGATGGCCTCTGACCAGTTTTCTCTTCCTATGAGAAAAATGAATTTGGAAGAAAATTATTGTAACGTAGGACCAAAAGGGGCCAGTTTTCCCCAAGCCTTTTCAATATAATGGAAGACAATTATTAGAATATGATAACTGTTAAATAATTCTTTACTGTTTGGTTTTTGGAAACATGGACTTACTGGCCCTAACTAGCCAGACTTCTGCATGGCTGAATCAGATAATTGGTAGGTCCCTACCAAATGGAAATTAAGGAGGGAAAAAAGAACTTATTTTAATCATATTTAAGGTCCTTGAAAAGTTCATTAATAAACAACACAGCAAAAACATTTTCCTAGAAAGAATTCCTATCTCTAACCCACCTTTTTGTAACTACAGATTCAGACATATAAGATCAACTATTTTCTTTGCCACCTGTTTTCCTCATTCTATGAACAGTTTAGCCTAAGCTACAACCTCTAAGCATTTTTTGGAAGACATTCTCTTTACAACACAGCTGAGGTAAGCTTTATCTGCTGTACTTAATTTAGGTACTAAATCCTACCTTAGAGTTTAATTTCAGTATACATTTTAAAATCTAATTATCATATATACTGCCTAGAAATATTTCCTCTTTTTCCCCCAACGAGGCATTTTATTTGTACATGTATATTACATCCCTACAAAAAGAATCCCAGGATTTTCCCCCCTGTATGTTTCCATCTTGCTTCTTCATGGCCCATGATGCCTGCTGAGGTTGTCAGTACAATGAAAACAAACTGTCACGATGGGAGCAGATTATTCTGCCATTTCTCTAGATTGTTTTTTTTTTTGTTTTTTTTGAGAGGTTTTTGCTATAGGGCATGAGCGCTCACCAGAAAGACAGAGACAGAAAGACAAAAAGCGAGAAATCACCCCTCAGGGGGGAAGGCCATGCCACAATCCCTTCGTCTCCATTCTCCTCTCAGGATCTTGGGCATGCACACACACGCACCCAGCATGAGTTTAAGCCACTGGGTCCGGGACTTGAACCGCAATACAACTACATGGGAGTCCAGCGACACAGCCATTATGCCAACTACTGGTCCCCATTTCTCTAAATCTTGAGTTGTACGTCAAATCTGGGGCTGATCACTCCACACTTGTTTAACCTGCCAGTGAGATTCACAATTTTTCCAGCTTTGTGGTTATTGATGGTTTCAAATTCGCCAATGTAACCAGCACAGAAAGATGGCGGAAAGAGCTGCCTTGCCATATTTTCTAAGCACCTCATTACTTAGTCCTGTCTTTCCAACAAATTAGAAACTCAAGGACCATTTCATTTGCTTTCTCATGTCTTGTATAACGTAGTGTAATGTAAGACACAAAAAAGGCTCATTTGGGGCTAGGTGCTAGCACAGCAGTAACGCAGCTGGAGCCACTTGGGAGAGACCCTGGGTTTGTTCCAGGACTTCCCAGAGGATGCTGGGTATGCCCCCGACCAGGGTCTGCTGAAACCAGGGGTGGATCACAGCACAAGGATACCACTAGTGGGGCTGGTTTGCCTGTCTGTCTCTCAATTTTTCTCTCTCTCATGGAAGAAATAAAATTCTAAAAAAAGGACTCATCTTAAAAAAATCAAATTACCACACACCAAAAAATAGAAGATATATAATCACTTGAAAGAAAGAGATTTGATACAGTGCTCAGTACTTATGTTTTTAATTGTAGAAACAACTTTATAAATAGATTCTTACACAAGAATCTAAACATATTCAAGAAAAACATAGGCAGAGCACCCAAATCACCAGAAAGGTGGAGCCCAGCCCTTCTCTTTTGCTCTGGGAAAAAAGAACAAAAAAGAGGAAAAATGATTCCTTCTTGTTCTTTTCATTAGGTTTTTACTATAAAGTATGTACACTCACAGGAAAGAGATGGAGAAAGAGGGAAAGTGAGAAATCACCCACCATGGGGGGGATGGCCACATCACAATCCTTTCTCCTCCCCTTTCCTCCCCGAATTTTAGGTGTGCCTGCACGCATGTGCATACATGCCTCGTGTGATTTTCAAGCCACTGGGTCTGGGACTCAAACCACAGTCAGCCATATGGAAAGCCAATGTCTTAACCACGACATCACCTGCTGGCCCCTCCTTCTTGTTCTTAATTGTGTCTACCTACACAGTTTTTCAGGTAGAGTTTCTTTTTTATTATTATTTATTAAATTTTACTTACTCATTAATTTATTTTTAATTTGACAGAGAGAGACAGAGAGAGAGAGAGGAAGAGGGGAAGTGAGAAAGCAAGCTGCCAGGTCCAGTACTTGAACCATGGTCAACCATGTGGGAGTGTCCAGCACCCCAACCACCACGCAACCTGTTCTATTCCTTTGCTAAGATTTTTGTTTCCTTCCAAAGTGGGAACCAGGCTTTTCAGTCCAGCTTTGATTTTGTTTGCAGCTTCCTGGCCAGGACTCTGGAGAAGGCTAGAAAGAATAATGGCACCTCGGTTTATACTAGCTCAGGATTTCAGGTTCTTTATACCCACACGCTCTAACGTATTTTTGCAAAACAATCTTCTCTTTCATTTTTCTTTCATCTTTTTATCTTGTTCTTTCTATTAACCATTTCAATACTAGATGTCTTGCAGGATGTTCTGCATCATGAAGCTCTCTGTCCTTGCCTCTGGGATGCAGTTCTGCTGCTGCCAAGCTGGTGATGGCATCCATGGCAGGCTGGATGTTGCCAGTAGCAGATTCCAGAATGTTGGCCACCAACACACATGCAGACTTATCTACACTATGTCTTGGGCATGTCCTTGCAGGTAGCTTAACAAAGCTGAATAAATGGATTCTAATAGCTCACATCAGTGAATTTCTGTATCTTTCTTACTGTGTGCATTTCTATATCCTTTCTATAGAACTTCAGTGATTTCTCATACTGCACGTGCAGGATTTCTAGGGCTTAGCAGATATAACAGACCTTCCTTCTGTATTTGTCATTTACTATGTTAGGTAAAGAACTGATAATTTCTGATATGATTACCTGCTTCACAAGCTTAGTATCGTCAAGTCAAATGCTGCCAGTAAAACCAAATGGGAGTATCAGCCATCAGCCACCTTTTCTACATAAGTCTTCATTGTTTTCACAATTACTTTCCTGTCCTGGGGCGTACTATGCCACAGGCAGTGCATGCCACTCTGGCACCATTGTGTGTGTGTGTGTGTGCCAGGTATTATCACTGCTTCACGGATGACTTCAATCAATTCTGATCTGAGTTTTAGGGGTGCATAGGTAAAAAAGTCCAAGAATACTATATGCACCACTGAGCTTAAATCGCAGCTTCCTTCTGGGCCATTGGAGTTAGAATCTGCTTCATTTCATCCATAATGAGCTCTAATTTTTCGGGCTTTGCCTCTAATGTTTTTTCCAGAGTTGAGTGATCTGCTGACTTGTAAAGCTAAAATGTGTTCCCATAGAGCTCCTCTGTCAGCATATTCCTCTGTTCCAAGATGGCTTTGTCATTGTAGGCGTACCCCATGATGGCCGACGCTTCTGCGTGTCTCAATATCTTCCACACGTGGCCTTTAAAACTTCTGATAATCTCTGCAATCGGTAGTTTACTTCCATACATGAGAAATTTCTTAACAATATTTCTGGAGATTTCTTTATTTAATTCAATGAAATCACCTTGCAACTCTTCAAAAGCCTGTTTTCTCAGTTCATTGCCATACTGAATGTAACACTGGATCACCTGAGTTGAATCGTGTACAAATGCAATAGTTTTCATTTTTCCTTGAATCAATGTTTGTAAATCATTCATCAACTTTACTCTTTTTCTTTGTCACAGTCTTTCCTTCTTAAATTCTCCTGAATCTGCTTGGCCTGAGCAACAGTGTCATAGTTGGTTTTATCACTAAGTTGCCTGCTGTGCTTCAGTTCTTTCTTCTTTTTGAAATCATCTCATTTGGGTTTCTTGGCTGCTGAGTCATCACTTTGACTGTCCGAATAGAATTTTCTCTTCTTGTTGAATTTATTTACCTGTTGGAATTTGTTCTTAGGTGCTTTGCACCCTTGTTGCTTATTCCTGAACTGCTTTACATCCTTTTCCCCAGGTTTTGTGGCACTTTTCTCAAAGTTCTTTGATGTGATTTTGGGTCCACCTTCCTTAACAACTTTTCTTGGGAATGTCTTTGAAGAACTAGAGTCACTGTTTTCATGAAATCTCTTTTTTTTCTTGCAATGCCTTTATACTCATTTTTTTTTTTTTTTTGGCCTTGACTTCCGTCATATCACCTCGCACACATGGGGCCGAAGTCAGAGCTAGAAGCCTCAGTACTTACTGTGTCATCCATCTCAACATTAGAGGAGGAGAAGCGGACATCTAGATGATCCTCAAGAAATGTCAGGTTAATCAATGGAAAAATGAACTTGGGACCAGCAGGTGGCATAGGCACTAGACTCCCACACGGCTGACTGCAGTTGGAGTCTCAGACCTGGTAGCTTGAAAATCACACCAGGCATGTATGCATGCATCCCCCAAATCCCAGGAGGAGAAGGGATTGTGAGGTGGCTATTTTTCCAGGGGGTGATTTCTCACTTTCCTCTCTCATTGTCTCTTCTGTCTCTAGCAAGCACATGTGTCCTATGGGAAAAATGTTAATAAAAAATAAAAGAGAGAAAGAGAAAGAAAAAAATGGAAGAATAAACTTGATGTCTTCAAATAATCTTAAAGTCAAAGATTTCTGATCATAATATAATCTAGAAATCCAATCTAAAGCCATACAAAACACAATAGTTCTTATAAGTATTACAAGTCCTAAAGTCCAATTCAAAGAAAATCAAATCTGAGTCTATTCCATAGTCCTTTTTTTTTTAACAAAACAGATTTTTTTTAGTAAATATAAATTTAACCAAACATAAGCAAATTTTAAAATCCCATTAGAATAAATAAGAAAATTATAAACCCCTATACCAAAATTAAAATCATTAGCCTATCTACTTTTGTCTATTTTCCCTAGAACTAGAAGTCCTAAAAGACTTTTTATTCAAATCGTGGCTATAAAACCAAAGGGCAATTGTACAAAAAACTACTGATCACATAGACAAATAAGTAACCTATGAACAGATAAATTAAGGAGCCATCACTGTACTCTATGAAATTCTACTTATAATGCTGAATTACAACTGTTCAAATTTTATAGAATGTTATAATATTCAAACTATACATAATAGTTTTTATTTAATGCATGCTTTTTACAATGTGGCTCTCTTCCTAATATTACTGTATGCATTTTTTCCCCAGTTATCTATTTATGATTTACATTTGCCCACATGAGCTATCTCTGTTTTAACCTCCAATGGGTTAAATCCATCATCCATCTAAAATCTAGGTAATTCACAATACGTATCACTTGATCATCTGAAAATGACATGTAAATTTTTCTTTTAAGAATTATTTTATTATTATTTTTTAATTTGACCAGAGAGAGGCAAAGAGAGAAAAAGAAAGTGAGAAAGTACGCCACAAGCTCCGAGACTCAAACTGCAGTGGGCCATGTGGGAGTCCAGCACCTTGACCACTATGCTACCTGCTGGCCCCCCTGACATGTACTTTTATTTATTGATTGATTTATTAAATTCTTTTTAAAAAGAATTACTTTATTTATTCATTTATTTATTTTAATTTGACCAGAGAGAGGCAAAGAGAGAAAAAGAAAGTGAGAAAGTACGCCACAAGCTCCGAGACTCAAACTGCAGTGGGCCATGTGGGAGTCTAGCACTCTTAACCACCACATCACCTGCCGGCCCCGACATGTACTTTTAATGATTATAAAGTTGAAAGAGAAAATGGGGCCCAGCAAGTGGCGTAGTGGTTAAGGTGCTGAACTTCCACATGGCAGACTACAGTTCAAGTCCTGGACCTGGTGACTTGAAATTCACACTGGGTGCATGTGAATGTGTGCCCAAAAATCCCAAGAAGAGATTGGAGAAGAAGAGATTGTGGCATATCTCTCTGTCTCTCCAGTGAGTGCACTATAGCAAAATTCTCTCTCTCAAAAAAAATAAATAAATAAAATGTACTGTAACAAAGGAAGTCCAGTCATTTTACAACAGATAAATCAGCCTTACCATATTTAAACAATCAGTGGTCAAATTTTTTTTCTTCTTTAAAATTTATTATCATAATTTTGTTTATATTACATTGAAGTGGTCAACATTTTTAACTGAAATTTTTTATTAAACTATCTGAAGATCTGGGGCCAGCTGGTGGCATAGTGGTTACAGTGGTGGACTCTTACATGGCAGACTGCAGCTTGAATCCTAGACCTGGCGGCTTGAAAATCACACTGGGCACATCAGTATGCATGCCCAAAATCCCAGGAGGAGAATGAAGAAGAAGGAATTGTGGCGTGGCCATCCCCTCTGGGGGATGATTTTTCACTTTCCTTCTCACTGTTTCTGTCTCTCTATGGCAGGCACACATGCCCTACGGCAAAAATCTTTTAAAAAATTGTTTGGACGATCCAATTACAGTTCATAAAAATAATACAGAGAGATCCCTTTTACAGTAGTCCCAGTTCTCCCAATGGTAACATTTTGCAAAACTATAGTGTGGTATCCTAACCAGCTATTGCTATTGATTCAATTCACCAATTTTACTCAGATTTTCCCAGATTTACTTAAGCTCATTTGTATATATAAATGTGTATGTGTTTGTATATTAAGTCCTGTACAACTTTATTACCTGTGTAGGTTTACATATCAACCACCACAGTCAAGATAGCTGATTAGTTCCAATACCACAAAAATTGCCAGTATTGAATGACCAGATCTAAATAAGTATCCAAATTTTTTTTTCTTGTATGTTTTCCAAAAGAGGAAAAGTTTGGGACCAGCAGATGGTGTAATGATTACATCACCGCATCCCTTGTAGTTGACCAAGGTTCAAGTCCCAGATACAGCAACTTAAAACTCACGCCAGGTGCATGTGCATACATGCCCAAGATCCTAAGGGGAGAATGGAGAAGGGATTGCAGCACTTTTTATCTCTTGGTCTCTCTGGCGAGGGCACAACCTATAGCAAAAATCTCTCTTAAAAGAATAAAAAAAAGGAAGAAGAGGAGGAAAAGTTTATGTACTTACCCATCTGGCTAGGGCTTCTTTGATTGTTGTTGCTTTTGCCTTAAAAAATAAAAAAATAAATAAAAAATAAGACTGCCTTTATTGGCATAATTTGTTGATTTGATTTTCACACAATAATTACCAGCTCTGACTTCTTCCATTTAAAAGATGAATTTCTTTGAGACTTTATACCAAGAAGTTATTTATCTAGTTATTTAGTTTGCTATAGGACCACATGTGACTATACGAGACCGCGAGCGTGCAAGAGCAAGTGAGCCAAGAAGCTATTTACCTATCTATTTACTTAGTTCGCTGTAGGGCACATGTGCATGCATGAGAGAAAGAGAGAGAGAGGGAGAAAGTGAGAAAGCGCCCCCAGGGGGGATCGCCTGTACTTTATCCACAGTACTTTATCCTCTTTATCCTCCATTCTCCTCTAGGGATTTTGGGCACACACGCCCAGAGTGATTTTCAAGTCTCTCTGGGTCCAGAACTCAAACCATGCAGTTGGCCATGTGGAATCCAGTTGCCTTAACTTCAAAGTCACCTTCTGTCCCCACAAAGAGGATATTTTAATTTCCTGAAACTGGAATGATTTATTTAAATACTTTAAAAAATACTCTGTCAAATTAAAAATACATGAATGAATAAATGGATTTATTTGAGACCAGCAGTTGGTATAATGGCTATGTTGCTGGACTCCCATGTAGTCGACCGCGGTTCAAGTCCCGGACCCAGTGACTTAAACTCACATTGGGCATATGTGCGTGTGTGCCCAAGATCCTGAGAGAAGAATGGAGGAGAAAGGGATTGTGGTGTGGCCATCCCCCCTGGGGGGTGATTTTCTCACTTCCTGTCTCTCTGTCTCTCTCTGGCTTTCTAGTGAGCGCACGCGCCCTATAGCAAAAACCTCTCCAAAAAAAGAAAAGAAAAAAATTTTTTTGCAACAAAACAAACTTATACTTTAATTCCATGTTCCCATGAGCTTTCTGAAGTCCCTTTGTATACTTTACTCACACATGGTTTAAAAATTTTAGTGCTTTTTGGGGCGGCAGGTGGTGTTGGTGGTTAAAGGCACTGGACTCCCATGTGGCTGACAGTGGTTTGAGTCCCAGACCTGGCAGCTTGCTTTCTCACTTTCCTTCTTTCTCTCTGGTCACATTAAATAGTAATAGTAATAATAATAATAATAATCTGGTCACATTAAGTACTACTACTACTACTAATAAAATAGTTAAGTAAAATAATTGTTTTTAAAAATTTAGTGCTTTTGGGAACCAGCAGTTAGCGTAATGGCTGTATCGCTGGACTCCCACGTAGTCGACTGTGGTTCACGTCCTGGACCCGGTGGCTTAGAACTCACGCCGGGCGCGTGTGCGTGCGTGCCCAAGATCCCGAGAAGAGAATGGAGAAGAAGGGATTGCGGCGTGACCATCCCCCCTGGGGGGTGATTTCTCGCCTTCTGTCTCTATGTCTCTCTCTCTGTCTGTCTGGAGAGCGCACATATCCTATAGCGAAAACCTCTCCAAAAAAAAAAAGATAAAAAAAAAATGTAGTGCTTTTAACACCTGATATTAAAATATACCTTATTTGGTGTGGTGGTTAACGTACTGGACTCCCACACGGCCTACCGCAGTGTGAGTCCTGGACCTGGTGGCTTCAAGTTCACACTGGGCGAGTGCGCACACATACCCAAAATCTCAGGAGGAGAATGGAAGAGAAGGGATTAAGGCATGGCAAACCCTCCCGGAAAGTGATTTCTCACATTCCCTCTGTCTCTCTCCAGTGAGTGCACATGCCCTAAGGCAAAAATCTAAAAATACACACACAAACACACACACACTTTATTTAAATGATTCAAGGATTTTTATGTCTTTTTTACATTTTAACATTGAAATTTGGATTCATCTTATGATCGATAACAATTTGCAATTTCTGTGGTCAGTAGAAGTGATGAAATTTTAGAAAAAATATGAAATTATTTTATTTCAAATACATATGTTCCCTTTTATATATGTAAAGAGGAACCCAAAATAATAACTAAAGGAAAATTTTAAAGTATATACTATTATATCTATATAGTAGAGTAATATATAACCCTCAGGTTAAAAAAAATTGTTAGATAAAATAATAAAAGAACAAAATAGCAAATTCAAAATATGAAGACCATAACACTAAGAAGGAAACGTATGGCTGCAAATACAGCAGCAAACAAGAAATAGAAAACAAAAAGTTAAGATTTTGAGGCATTTGAAAAAGTACACCATTACAAATCCAAGGGCAGCAGAAGGAAATATAAAGGAAGAAGTCAACGAAAAACAGAACGGGGGAAAAATGAACACGATTAAAAGCTGATTCTTAAATGTCTAGCAAGCCTAAGTAAAAGAGATATGCAAACTGAAAAGACAGAAGAAGGAGAAATAACTACAAATATCACAAAAATGTTTAAAATAAAATGTAAGCAAACGGTTAGAAATAAGTTTTAAAACCTATACAAAGTATGCATTTCTAGAAAAACGTGTGTCAAACTGTCACACACAAAAAAAATCAGAAAATGTGAAGAGATCAATTAAAACATTAAAATGAGGGTCAACAAGTAATGTGGTGGTTAAGGTGCTGGACTCCAACATAGCCAACTGTAGTTCAAGTCCCAGACCTGGAGGCTTTCTTTCTCTCTCTCTTTTTTTCTGTCTCTGGTGAATGCATGTGCCATATGGCAGATTTAAAAAATATTAAAATTGGGACCAGTAGTTAGCGTAATGGCTATGTCGCTGGACTCCCACGTAGTCGACCACGGTTCGAGTCCTGGACCTGGTGGCTTAAACTCACACCAGGCGTGTGTGCGTGCATGCCCAAAATCCCAAGAGGAGAATGGAGGAGAAGGGATTGCGGCGTGGCCATCACTCCTGGGGGGTGATTTCTCACTTTCTCTCTCTCTGTCTCTCTCTGTCTGTCTGGCAAGCGCACGTGCCCTATAGCAAAAAATACCTCTCCAAAAAAAAAAAAAATGAAAATGAAATACTTTTTAAAAAATTAAAATAGAGTTTTATCTGATTTTAGGTTTATGCCATAGGGCACATAAGCTCTCTGGAAAAAGACAGAGACAGAAAAAGGGAAAGTGAGATATCACCCCCAGGGGGTGGATAGCTATGTCTCAATCCCTTCTCCTCCTGAGATTTAGAGCATGCACACACATGTTCCTGGGTGATTTTCAAGCCTCTGGGTTAGACAATTCTGCTGTGGCCGGTCATGTAGGAATTCAGTGCCTTCACCACCACACCACCTGCTGGCCCTGATAGAAAGAGTTTTACCCTCATCCTTCTCCCCTAAAACTTAATTTTTTAAAAAGAATTATTTTTTATTTATTTATTTTTAATTTTTACCAGAGAGAGACAGAGTGAAAGAGAGGGAAAGTGAGAAAGCAAGCCACCAGGTCTAGGACTTGAACTGCAGTCAACTATGTGGGAGTCCAACGCCTTAACCATTATGCCACCTACCAGCTCCTCTCCCCTAAAAGTTCAAGCCTAGACAGTTTTACAAGTGAGTTTTACTAAAGCTTTTAGAGATATAACCTATTATACAAGTTGTTTCAGAAATCAGAAAAATATGACATTGAGGCCATAATCAGAGAAGGAGCACTCTTTATTTTTTAACATGACTTGGAAATCCTGCATACTCTACTAGATTTCCAAAGCCAATGGTGTATAATGACCATGATCAAGAACAGTTTATGTCAAGAGCATAAGGAGCACCACAGAAAAATCTATAAAGTGAATCATTAATTAATGTTAAAGGGGTAAAAATCATGTTTATTTCAGTAAATGCAAAAAAGGTACTTGGTGAAGTTCTATAACAGATATGAGAGGAGCCAACAGGTGGCATGGTAGTTAAGGCGCTGGACTCCCACACTCCCACATGGCTAATGGTAGTTTTGAGTGCCGGATCTGGTAGCTTGAAACTCATGCCAGGTGAGTGTGCATGTGTGCCCAAAATCCCAGGAAGAGAATGGAGGAGAAGGGATTGTGGTGCAGCCATCCCCACTGGGGGGATGATTTCTCACTTTCTCCCTCACTGTCTGTCTTTCTGGCAAGCTCATACCCTATGGAGGGGGGAAAGCGCCCTTAGCTAAGTTAAAGGGAAATTCCTTACTTTTACTTGACAAAAGCTATATATATATATATCAGGCCAACAGGCGGCATGGAGGTTAAGGTAGCTAGCTGAATGTTGTGTAGCCAACTGCACAGTTCAAGTGCAGGACCCAATGGCTTGAAAAACATACTGGGCACATGTACATGTGTGCCCAAAATCCCAAAAAGAGAGTGGATTTGGCATGGCAATTAAAAATAAAAAAGAAGAAAAAGAATATCAGCAGGTGTTTTAATTCATTGACAATCAGAAAATTAAAACAATGGGATACTAAAATAAACATCTGAATTGGCAAAAATGACAGTTGGTGAAAATGTGAAGAAATGAAAAAATAATTTTTTTTTTTTGGAGAGGTTTTCGCTATAGGGCGCATGCGCTCGCCAGACAGACAGAGAGAGACATAGAGACAGAAAGCAAGAAATCACCCCCCAGTGGAGATGGTCACGCCGCAATCCCTTCTCCTCCATTCTCCTCTCAGGATCTTGGGCACGCACGCACATGCACCTGGCATGAGTTTTTAAGCCACCGGGTCCGGGACGCGAACCGCGGTCAACTCCGTCGGAGTCCAGCGACATAGCCATTACGCTAATTGCTGGCTCCCAAGAAATGAAAATTTTCATGCATTGCTGGAGTAAAAACTAGTAAAGCCCTTTTGCAAAACAGCTTGACAGCATCTAGGGAAAAGTACACATAGACTCTAGAACCAAGCACCCCTATTTCTGGGTAAAGTACTTCCCAGAGAAATCTTTGCATGCATCCATAAAAAGACAAATAAAGGACCAGCAGTTGGTGTAATGGCTATGTTGCTGAACTCCCATGTAGTTGACCGTGGTTCTAGTCCCAGACCCGGTGGTTTAAACTCACGCTGGGTGCATGTATGTGCGTGCCCAAGATCCCAAGAGGAAAATGGAGGAGAAGGGATTGTAGTGCGGCCATCCCCCCTGGGAGGTGATTCCTCACTTTCTATCTCTCTGTCTTTGTCTTTCTGGTGAGCACACGTGCCCTGTAGCAAAAATCCTCTCAAAAAAAAAAAAAAAAAAAAAAAACAAACAGAAGAA